TGCCCTTGATGACGGGCAGCGGTACCTGGATGGCAGTGGTGAGTGATGGAGCTGATGCTGAGGTGCTGCTGGGGGTGCGGGTCACCTGCTCAGTTGGCCTTCCTTGCTTCACATCTCTGAGGAAAGACAGAGGTGTTTGCAGTCTGCTAGTAATGGTTTCACTGGGGGAAACAAGTAGCTGTATGATAGAGTCAGAGTTTTTTTCACTGGCTAATTAATTGTATTATGTAAGCCTCCTTCTGTTGGATTAGTGTAATATTTAAAAAGGAAAGCAGTGAGACAAATAGTAAAAGCAGTTGGATCTTAATATAGCACATTTTCAGATTTGAGTAGTAAACACCAAGTTTTTAAACTAGGAAAAAGAGATCCTAAGTGTCAGGAACATACCAAGGTATTTTATTACTCTGATGTCAACATAACACGTTTTCCTTATTCTTATCCCCTGCTCCCATTAAACTTTTGCTTTTGAATGTAGTCCTCAGAAGACAGCATGGAGAATTTCCCTATGCTTGCCCTATTGTGACAATAATAGATAAATAGTCCGTGGGGATTACTTGAGTATCTCTTTGTCCAGCTTGGAGTGTTCTTGGAACAAGAGTTTTAGTTCTTAAAGAAGGATCTAGCTGGGAAGAGCTGGTGCAGAAACCTGGGAGTGGGGAGGAATCCAGGTTGTCTGCCACCCCTAGTCACTGTGATCATTCTTCTGGAAAAAAATGAAAGGACTTGGTGAGGTCCTTTTGGAAAAAAGATGGAAAAATGTAATGGGATAAGTACTTGTTCTGAAGCAAGACTGGAAAATCACTGAATGTGGAGATACCATGACAAGTGTGCCAAAAAGAGTGGATTTAGAATAGTAATTAACTGCTGGTTGAGCAAGAATTGCAAGATCACAAAACAAATTACTGTTATTAACAGAAGTATTTGTTCTAACATCAAGCTGTCATCCTGCTGTACTGTTTAACCTGATTCTGCCATGTGGAAAACAACAAAAAAAAATCTCAGATATTTTATTAAGTGTGAATTTGTGATTTATTTCTGTATTATTTTTCAGTATAATTGTCTCCTAAATGGCAATCACCTTCAAAAGCAAGGGAACTTAAAAAACTGAAGGACTTTCTGGCTTTGGACACACTGTATGAATGAATGCTGGATCAGAAACTGTAGGATCTGTGGGAGAATATTGCTGGGTATAAATGTGTTAGATCCTACAGAGTTGACTTACAATAACTTGTCGCTGCAGTTCTGTGAGTTAAAGCCCAATAAATACCTGTTGATTTATACCTCTCCTGCTTTTAAAACAGGAGAGTTGTAAAATAGTTTGTCTTAGGGATCCCAGGCATGAAACAGCCCCTTTTCTTGCGGCTTAAGTGTCATCTGCATGCACAGCGTTTAATAACAAACAACTAATTGTGGGGTTATGTGCTGAATACCACAACAGGCAACAATAAGGAGGTTATTTGGTAAAAGATTGACACTTAGTCTAGATACCTGTTAGTTGATAGCTTTTTTGCTGCCTTGAGCAATGTCAAAGATTTCTGGAGCCTGACGTCCTAGTAAACTGTGAATGGTACCTATCTATACAGTTGTGTGGTTTGAAACAATGTATTGGTCTCCCAATGACACTTTTATATTGAACTGGAATAGATAGGACATCCTTCAAACAGGTAGTTGTATTTGGAGGAAAAAGTGAAAGACTGAAAAAATAAAGCTGCATAGCTCAAAAGAGGAGGAGAGAGATCTGCTTGTCCTACCTGGTCCACTTTGTTTCAGTAGGTCAGCTTCGTGCTCTAATACCATAGTTCACTCATTGTCAAAAATATGATTAAACAGCCTCAGCCATAAACGCATCAGAAGCATGAACTGGCTTTGGGGAATGGTGTAATTGGAATATGGATAGTACTATGGAAAAGTCATCTTTCTTTAGCTTACAGGTCTACAGTGCATATTTAAAAACACCCATGGAATGTTTTTTATTTAGAAAGTAATTAGAAAATGTATTACTCTCTTCAGTGCAGAAAAATTCCACCATGGGCTAAAGATTGGAATTTCTAATACCAGAATTTTCCAGAAGTCAGTGATATATGCTTTGTCAGTGAAACATGCGTAACTTAATCACAGTCAACCTTTATATTTAAATCTTCTTGGATGTCAAAATGCATTGTGTGTCAATGTACTTCAGAATTATTTTGCAGTCCCAGACTCTCCAGAGGTGATGTTAGCAGTAATTTTGGTTTCTAGTCTTTTGGGGTTTGTTGTTTTTTGGGTTTGTTCAGTTTGCTTTGTAGAGTGGTTTTTTTCTTTAAATGAAGAAGTAGGTTTTGCCCTAGACTTAAGAGGTGAGCATTGTTAAGTGGTTAGCCACGTAGCATTCATGCCTATGGATGAATCATAAGGAGAAATATTTTTCTTACTATATCAGGCAGTTCAGGCTTCTAGCCTGAAAGCCAACCAGGTGGCCAAAATGAAAGCAATGGCTTTTTACTTCCTTATGGCTTATGAGCTTGAGTAGCTGTTGAGAGTGTGGTGATGCCTGCTCTGTCTGCTGCCTGACTTCGCAGTTTCTCTGGAACTGGGAACTGTCTGAAAAGCTGATTGCTTTTTAAGTAAAGCTGCATATCTCTGTGGAGATGTGCATGTTCTGCAGGAGACAGTGAATTGCTCCTTTCCCTCGCATAAGCAAGAGCCAGAAGACTGGGTGTGTTCTCTGCAACATTGCAAATACCTCAGTGCACATGGTACAACTCTGGCCTGCTGTCCACAGTGTAAAAATGCTCAGACCCTGGAGATCAAACCCAGAGCCATTGTTGCAGGAACAGTTGGTGTGGATCAAGCGGAGAGGTTTGGTCTAGCCCTCTGCTGCCAGTTTAGGATGACACACATCTTTCAGAGGTTATTTGCCCCATCTGCCAGCCCCATGTCAATGTCTTAGGTGTCCTAGAGCATCTCAGATATCACTAGCTAACCAAGTCTAGGTAAGTGAAGCAGGTCTTCCAACCTCCATGTAATGGGTAAGAGGATATGGAGTGGCTTAAAGCAGTGCTCTGTCTAGTGCAGTTTGTAATAATGTGTTGAGCCCTGTCTGAACCTGGCCCTTGACAACTTTATGCAGAACTGGGGAAGGAGAGAGGCAGTTTAAGGCAAGGATTTTTTTCATGCAGCGTAAAGTCATCTCACAAATTCATAAACTGATTTCAGGAAATAAGGAAGAATTAGGTTTGAATGGTGATCATAACCTTGAAATACAACCAAACTTTGAAACTTAAAAGGCTGTTTGTTTTGCTTCTCTTTATTTCTCTCACTGCCTGTGGGTTTATTTCTCTCACACCCAGTGGCAGCTACCTTAATGGTGGCTTCCTAGAAAAGGATCTCTTTGCCCTGCCTTCTAGAGGTGACAATTATTTTGCCTTGCCCAACTGCGTGTCCCAGTTCAAGTCAATTTGTCACTCGGGGTTCTGTATAGGGTCAGCATAGTAATGGTGACAGTGGCGACACAGCAGCATAAGGTATTCTTAGCTGATCAGCCCTTTAAGTTTAATAATCATGAGTGTGGTTTTCTCTTACGGCATTTTATTATCTTCATTTATTGCATAAAATGGTTGCTGAACACTTACCATCTTCTATTTTCTATATATTGTGCACACCTTAATTGTGTAATTACTTTGCTGGCATATTTGGCACATGTTCATTCTCCAGTAATAAAGTAGTATTGTGCATTTAGTTCCTGCATGAGATGTGGGTGATTCCCGCTTGGCACTTTGTCATTATGTGATGCCCTTTTTGCAGGTGATACATCTTCTAGAGAGATCTGTCAGCTGTAATTAATTAACCACTAATATAAGTCAGCTCCTCTTCATGGTATGGGTAGAATTATACATACCTAGATATAAGCCTACTAGGCTTAGCTTTGATTTAACTGCTGTTCTAAGTCTACTTTAGGGGACAACACTTCTTCAGTTAACAGGGTAGGCTAACTTCAGAAGATTTTCTCATTGGCATAAATTTATAATTTTGCAAATTCTTCATACAGTCAAATAAACCAAAACCAGAATTGCCAGTGAGAGATCAAGAAAACTTAAAAGCAGAACTCAGCAACATTAGAAATCCTGGGGTTGCTTTAACTCAGCATTAGATTCCTGGTGATTTCCAATTAGAACCGGTCTGTAGATCTAGAAGCAACAGGCTTGTATGTCAAACGATAACATATTGGAGTCAGCAACTTGCTGAAGTTTCTTCTGGTATGTAACACAGTCACAGGTTTTTGTTCCTCAGTACTTTGGTATTTTTCTCACTTTCAAACACTTCCTACTTAAGAAGATGATACAATAGCTGTAATTCTTGATATTGCTGTATGTAGTTAGTGCTTTTAAAGCTAAAACCCAAAGCCCTGCAACCCAGTATCATAAAAAAAAACAAAACAATCAAAACATACCCCCCCCCAAAAAAAAACACAAAACAAAACAAAAAAAGAAAAAAAACCCAAAAGAACTCCCACACAAAAAATGAAAGAAAGAAACAAACAAAAGAAAATAAGACACATACTTTAGGACAGAATAAAGCGAATTTTGACAGATCATATAGATTGGAACAAACTAAGCACTGTCTCTCTACCAGAACAACAAAAAATTATCCTTAACATGCATATAGAAGGAGAAATCCAGAAATCATTACTTTTGCCCAGTAATCCCCAATGCACTATTTGTCAAAAATCCAATAATCTACAGAGGTGTTATCTTTTACTTACAGATACACTGAAATGTGTGTGTATGTATGGTTATGTGATGTAAAAGCAGTACCTTAACTTGCCTTTTCTGTCTTTTCTAGTGTTTTTTTCAGTATTATTCTAGACTGCATAAAAAAGCAGTAATGTACTTTAGTCAAATTGGTAATTCAGTTACAGCTCTTTTTCCCACTGTGTTAAATAGAGGATACTTTTAACACTTCCTTGAAGCAAACACTTACCTTCATTCCTCTCCCCACCCCCTGCCCCATTTCTTTTTTAGTGGGCAGTTTGCAGTAGTGAAAAAATGCCGTGAGAAAAGCACTGGCCAGCAGTTTGCAGCAAAATTCATCAAGAAACGAAGAACGAAATCCAGCCGGCGCGGGGTGAGTCGGGAAGATATCGAGCGAGAAGTCTGCATACTAAAAGAGATTCGACATCCTAATGTGATCACCCTGCATGATGTTTATGAGAACAAAACAGACGTCATTCTTATTCTGGAGCTGTAAGTAGCTGTAGAGACCTAGGGACTAGTAACAAAATATTGGTTGGTTGGTTGGTTGGTTGGTTGGTTGGTTTGTTTTAACAAAATAGATGCTTTTTCTGAGAATCTTAGGAATTTAATGATTTAATTACCACCCCAAAAGGTGATCAGTAATAGCCTTAGAATTCTTTAGTTTTAAGTCAGAGTTGTAGCTTCTTGATCTCTACACATATTTTTCACTACGGTGCACCACACAATCTACTACAAAGGTTAAAAAAAAACCACCCCAAACCAGCATATTAGAATTTTATTCTGCTTGTTACTTTAAGCACTGTTGATGTTATGGATCCAGAGGAATGACCTGGGGCTAAGTAAACTGATATAAAGATAAGAGCAGGGGGAAATACAGATTCTAAGTGGACATTAGTTTAGCAAATTTTGCTATGCTTTATGTTGATGTAAAGAAGTAGCATCATAGCTTTTTCTCCTTTTTTTTTTTTTTTAACCTGCTTAACAGAGAACAGAATTTTCCCAGTTCTGTCCTATGTAAATGTAAACTGAACTTTCATGTCGTTTCATATAGCTTTAGTTCCCATTTTGCATCCAAGGTTATTGTTAATAGGTTGAAGTAAATATATTGCCAGAGAACACTTCTGCATTCTTTCAAGTCTGGCTTCCAGTTCCTCAAAGATTGCAAGTTTGGAAGTTAAGCATCACTCACCCATTACAGGTTGGCAGTGCCTGCTGGTGGGACATGCATATCTTTACATAAGGTGCATACCTGACACTGTATAATTAGCATTCCTGCTCTGTGATTTGGTACCAGATTCTTGGGCAGCACTTGTGTCTTTTCCTTGGCTGTTCATGTAATTTTTCTTATGAAGGTTATATCTTCCTGTTTACTAGCTTTGGTAAATGTTATTTTCACTTGCTTTACAAGAATACTTTAGTTTTGTGCTCTTTCAGTAACGTATCTATAGATTTGCAGCCTAGATTTAAAAAGAATACCGGAAAGTTGGATTTTCATCTTTTCTGTGGTATGTACATGCATGATACTACTTTGTTACATTAGGACATACTTTTACACTTCTAGTCCAGTATGTGGTGATTTACTGTAATACTTTTTGTGCTCTGGGTGTTTTTTTTAGTTCCAGAAGTACACATTTGTATTAGTTTGTTAACTTGGGGTAATTTAAACAAGTTTTGGTGTTTTTTTTAACAAAGATTAACTATCATCCTCTATGAAGTAAAATTACCTTATGTTCCTGTCAGAATATCTACTACTGCTGGTTTTCGTTTGGAGCACTTTAAATGTGTCATGAATTCTCAGCAAAATTAGTGTGATCCTTTTTCCTCTCCCCATTGATACTAGCTATCACATTCCTTCTGTCTATAACCTTGTATCCCTGCTTCTGCAGTGCATGCTTTCTGTTCTGTAATCTGTCCAGCTGATATCTGGCCAGTGTCTGGACTTGAAAGCTCTGAAGAGGACACAGTAATCATGGACAGCAGTAGGAGGAATGGGGCTGTTCTGCACCCCAATCCCTTTCTACATGGATAGGAGCTCTTCTGGCAACAAGTTTGCTGTCTGTGTCTGTGTGTACCTCCTGAGGTTCATTAAATGGAAGCAGATCCTGCTTCTGAAAATGCGCGTTAATATTTCTTAACATTGATGGTATGAAGCTCAGCAAACTGTTGGCATTACAATTTAACTGGTTGTTTTGCCTAGTTAACAATCTCCATATAGTTTCTGCTGGAAACGTCTTTTTTTTGCTTTCCAACTGCAATGTGAGACTTTCAGGTTTAAGTGCTATTTGGGATATCACAAAGGTAATGCATTAATTTACTTAGAGGAAGAAATGACACATTTGTGAACCCTTTGTAAACTGAATTTGCTAATTGCTGTAACGTTTTGTGATTCTGAAAATCACTATGATAGTATGTAAAGCTACTGAAAAGACAAAAAAAATTGTCATTTCAGTTACATGCTTAGAGACTTAAATATGTAATCCCTTTCTTCTTATGTTCTAGTATTTGCATTATGCCTAGAGACTTACTCCCCTGACATTCTTTGCTCTTACAGAACAGTTTCAAACAAATGCAAAGCTGAAAGCTCATTAAATAACTTGGTTTGCTCTGCTCAGAACCCATCCTAAGTGGCTGTTTTCCCTTCTGCTCAGAAAATAACATTTTTCCTGGGACTCATGTTCCTTTATGACTTGAGACAGTATACCACATACAGACAGAATTTTGTGTAACTTGATTTTTCTAGAATTTAGAGAGAAACTAAAAATCAACACTCCAGCTATGTATGGGAAATTCATGACAAAACAAAAGCCCAGAGGAAACACTAATGTTAATAAGCAAGGGTAGCAACACGAGCAGAGGTGAGGAAAAGTATCTCTGGTTTCTGTTCTTGGTAGAAGCTGCAGCCCACAGAGATCAAGCCACTGCAGCTGCCCTTTTGCTGGCTGCCAGATGTTGACATCCACAGTCTCAGGGCAAGAGTGACTATTGCGTGTTCAGTATTGATTTTTATCTCCGGGTTCAGCAGGAGGCTTGCAGTATTGTGTGCAGCATCCTAAACATTTTCATGTGTTATTAGTCAGCTGTTTCTCAGACATGATTGTCTCTACAAATTTTCACTTCATTCCCTTGTGGTAAATGTTACATCAGCCAGCAAAGTATTCAATGTGGTGATTTGTATGCAGAAATATGTAGGCAGTTAGTTAATTATTATGGTTGCAAGGTCCTCACAACACTGAATGCAGAACAGAGCTGCGTATCAAAAACTATCCACGTAGATATCTGGTGTTTTTTCTTTCAACTACCTTATCTCACTGACCCTACAAAAAACAAACCAACCAAAAAAAAACCTCACAAAACCAAACAAAAAACTATGAAATATTTAATAGTCAAGTGCATCCTTAAGAGTTTCAGAAATTAGACACTAGCATGAGATAGTCTTGAAGAGCGTTGTATATTTAGAGAGACACTCCTGGTATATTTAGAGAAATCAGGCATATTTTCATATTTCTAGGTCTTCCTTAATGGCAAGTGTCTCCCTGATTTGGAAATAACCTTTGAAATTCCCATTCTATGAATTCTTTCATCAGCTTGCCAGGAATGCTGTGCATATTACATACTAACTAGAAGACACTGTCTCTTCCTCATCTAGCTTAAAACTGTAATAGTTTTTGTGGATTTTTTTCTCCATTCACATAAATAATTAATTAGTCAGAATTTTATGGTACTTTTTTCTATCCAGCTGCAGGAAGTAGTCTCTGTTATTTCTTAGCTATTTCAGTGAGTTCTGCTGAAGCCATCATTTTCTCAGACTTCACAGAGTAGAAAGGACAGATGCTTCTGTTGCACAGTAATGATTATTTTCTTTCCTCAAGCATGTTTTGCATCTACTTGGTTCCCCTTTTGCTGACCTTTGATGCATAATCTGACTCTTCAGTTGTGTTTTTCCTTCCACTTTGTTCTGTTTTCATTTAGACTGCAGACCTACAAAATATACCGTGTGTGGTGCTTTGTAGAGCCTTGGTTATGGTTTCTCAGTTCGACTGCAAAGAATGAATACCCTTATCTTAAACTATATGGTAGTTCCTTAGAATGCTCAAAAGTAATGCAGATGGTATCACCTTTTAAAATAGCTTGATAGCAATAGCTGACTCTTTTCAGTGGGAAGCTGTGGATGGAGTTTTTCTCTGCAAGAAACATACCTTCATTTCTGAATTGGAAATCTTAACTGAAGACAGCTCTTGTAGCATAGTTCTGAATGATGAATAACATGCTAAACTTCAGAAAAGAAAAGAAGAAAGCTTTGAAAGTGTCAGCTCAGAAAGAGGAATGACATTGACTTACAAGTCGTTGTGTATTAAATACTAGGTTTATGCTTTTTAAAAAAGTTCTTATATACTTTCTTTAGAATTTAGTCCTTAGCATCACAGTGTCTGAGAGATTTCAGTCACACTGAAGAGATTATTTCATTACAGCTGGTGTGTCTAATGGAAGCTGGACAAAGGAAAATGATGAGGCATAGCGATGCTGTAACATGTCTTGATATTTCTGGTAGCTAGATAAAGAAAAAGCTAAGCGCAGTGTTTTTCTGTGAGTAGGAAACAGCTAACTGACTTATTCTGCTCTTTCAAAACATGTGGTACACTTTGTACTTCTGATGAGTGGGTTGGTAACTGCACAATTCATAAAGGTTGTGAAAAGCAGTGGAGGTAAGACCACTTAACCTTAAATAAAACAGAAGTAGCAATTTTTCAGTCTAGTCTTCGGCTGATAACTTCTGTTTTAAAGGAATGGAAAGGGTCATACAGCAGCCATTTGACCACAGGATGCTTAGAGAAAGCATTTATTTTGCAGTTGACATGGATTAGAGAAGGTTTCAGATAATTTATCAAACCTGCTTTTAAAAAATGAAATAAAATGGTTGTGGAAATCTTCAATTTTACTAGTTTATGTTGCTTCAGAATGTAGGCAAGGCAAGTTAAGCTTTGTAAGCTTCAACTTACAAGGTTAATTTTCTTCAAGCAAGGGGTTTGCATTTGGGTTAGGGGGTTTGTTTGTGGTTTTTTAACTTTATTAGAAATCCTTAGGTAATCATTAATTACCATTTAGCGTGCTGTTACAATATGAGCAGTGTGATCAACATGGCATATGACTGGGTTGTTACAAGGTGACTGTGCTGAGAAGGTTAATTAGTTCTAAGTTCCCTGTGTAGGTTCCCATAATGACTTCCTCTGAGATCTGGTGATCAGTTCCATTTCATAGTTAAGAAAGTCTGGCAACTTGCAAAAGCACTATCCAGAAACCCTTTTTCCCCGGAGGTGGTATATTTTCATTCCCAGAGGGAAATATGTGGGTTGCAGACCTTCCTTTGAGAATGCTTGTGAAATGCTTTTACCACTGCGGCATTTTATAAAAAAAGAATGCAGTTGACCCAAAGCTTTATTGTATTTGCATCAGTCTAGGGAGAGCTAGCAGTATTGCCTCGAAATGCTGGGGAAGCAACACGTACCGTATCAGCTTTGCTCTTAGTGAAAATGCTTGTACAAAGTATTTATGAAAACGTGCTCTGCTACTCAAAACCAGTGTAAAATGCAGTCATGCTATAACAGTGAAAATAGATTTACTGAGCCCTTATGGCTTTCTGTGTTATATCATGGTCAATAATGTAACATGTCCTTTATGATTAAAATTTTATCATTAAAATTGTCATCTCCAGGAGTCACAAATTCTTGTTTTATTGAGCAAAATAATTGAACACCCTATGATGCCTGCAGAATTGTGACTTGGTTTAAATGTAAGCTACAGACTTTTATGCAGGAATATTAAAGAACTAATGCTTTAAAGGAAAACAGTGTGTGAAGGAGAATATAGGGGCTTTGCAGCTATAAAGGAATTAGCTGTGACTTGGCTGTAATCAAGCTCTTCTGTTAATCTGAAGGGGTATAGGTTGTTCCCTATCAGTTATTTATGAGCACTTTGGCGATCAGAGTTGTTGCAGCACAGATGAACTGCTCAGAAAGCTGTGTGATAATTCCTACCAGCAAACAGAGAAATTGAAGAGAACGTCTGTGCTTCCCGAGTATACGAGGTTCAGACACTCCAAAGTGCTCTACAGGAAGAAACATTACTGCTTGGTTAACCTCTTGCCTCTACTCCCTTGAGGAAGCAATCTATCCAGCCACTGGTTGATGGCAGTCTGCTAGATGCTGGCTGCATGGGCCTCTTTGCAGAGCCCTGAAGGCAGTTTGCATGGCTCTGGAAACACGCATAATGACCTGGTTTCAGACAGATTTCAACAAGGCATTCATGCACCAGCCACACTAAAGCTAACTTAGAAACAAGGCTGAAGGATTGTAATAGAAGTGGAACCAGTGTACTACTTGGGAGAAGGTGACATTCAAAAAGATCAGTTGTAGAAGCTGATGTATGGAGTTGTCTGCCCCTTCTCCTTTAGATTAAGATTGCATTTGTGCATGAGATGGGATGTGCGCATGTGCAGTGGTGGTGGAATGGTGTTTCTGCTTGGTTTCTGGCTCCACCTCTGAAGGTGACCCTGGGATAGTAAAATATGCAGTGTTTGTTTACCGTGGGACTCTGTTATCCTGGCTGAGGTGCAGGGCTAGGCTTGAAAACCCAGCAAGATTTTAGGAGGTTTGTGAAGGCTGCAATAGCTTACGTAGCTAGTGTCTCTATTGGCTTGTTCTAATAAATTTCTTTGACCTGAGACATCTGAAAGTCCAGTCAAGATCATCTAGTGATTTTAGATATATAATCTGGTAATGAAATGTGTGAAAGCAGGCTCTGAATATAGACCTGGGTCACTATAATGCAGTGAATTAATTGTGGAAGTGAAACTTGTAAGCTGTATTAAACCTCTGTGATTTTCTTGAAGTAGTTGCCTTGCAGTGAGGTGAACCTGCATGGGATCTTACCCTAGGCATTAAGGCTAAGATGAGTAATGTGAAGGGAACACTAAAATCCTGTAGACCAGAGGTCCAGCTGCTTCTGGAACAAAGCTGTGAGTGTATTACATCCAGTCCCTCACCCACCCACTCCTTAAGTACAGGGCTACCAAGTCACTTAGGTCACAGGCATCTAAAGAAGCACACAGCACTTACTTAATAAAAATCTGCAACTTTTGCTAACTAGCTTAGAATTTTAAGGGGAAAAAAAAAAACAGTTATTTTTTTTTTTTTTTTAACCAGTTAGGTTCTCTGGACCTCAGTTTTAAGATTGACAAGCACTAGTTATATTACCTGCGAAATACAGGTAACATTCAATTTTGCTCTAGCATAAGGCTTCACGTAAAAGAAATGTCACTAAAACTAACCTGTGGCAATGACAGGATAGTACTCAGCAGTGCTAGAGAAAAGACATATGTGATCTCATGCAATTAACTACTCACAAATGTGACATCTTTGGGGCGCATAAAGGTGCATGTGCATAAAATTTACAATTTCATGCAGTGTAAAGTTTCAGGATGCAAAATTGCACGAAATGGAATGATTGCAGATAAGAACCTGGAGGAGACTCTTTCCATTTTACACAAACACAGTTAACGTTTCTTTGTTAGGTAACTTGAAAATAAGTAAACATTGGGAATTAAATCATTCTTCTGGATCTAAGAGGAAGGTGTGTAATCAGTGCTACTTGTTTACAGATGATTAATAAGTTTCACAGAGATTGCCTATCTTTAATATGCCAGTGGGTGTAAGACTAAACTGTAACAGCCATAAAACATACCAATACCTGTGTGACACAGTCGCAGTCTGTTTTAGACTGCAGGATGGGCAGCACAGTGTTGCAAGTTGCTGTTGCTGAAAATGTGTGCTTTGAGTACTTCTTTTGCATTTCTGATGCTTTAAGCATCATCGTGCACTTTCACTGTTTCACATGAGAAGTAGACCATATAACCATGTGTTTGATAGAGCCTTTGGGACTCTTCCTCAGCCAAGGGTCCAGCTCCGCCAGCTCACCAAACTGCGTAACAGCCCAATGGCAAACCATGCTGAGTGCACGGAGCTGCCGGGGTTTGCTGTGACTGCTTCTGCGTCTGCCCATGTCTGGGGAAGCAACCACAAGTGAATCTGCTCTGTGTGGCATGGCTGTGCTCCAGCTAACAGCCTCCTGGCAAATGCAGCAGACATCCACTTGGAAACAAGTTCCATGGATGTCTAAGTCTCTTAGCCCAGTAACTGAAAATGAAGAGAAATGCCAGCACTGTGTCACCATCCATGTTTCTGTGCATTATCATAAAATGCTGCAGATACAGACCTTTGCCTGAAAACCTTTTCCTGTCTTTTCAGTTGGAAGCAAAGAATGAGAGAATATGCAAGTGTATCCATTTGTAAGATTTTTCTGACCAGCCTCTGTAAAATTATTTAATATTTAGAAATTCTATTTTAATATCTCTTTAAAAAAAAAAAGCAAAAAACCAAAATTACCTCTCTTCCTTCCAGTCTATAATTCATGTATTTAATGGCATTTTGTTTAAGTAATTGCTTTCATGCAGAAAATACTACAACACAAGTAATACCAGAAACAATACTCTCATTATTGTCTAGGCAGCTCAGTGAAAGCTCCAAGAGCTCATTAAAATACACTTTTCATGCAATTTGCATTACAGTAATGCAGATTAAGTCTCTTGAAAAGTTGACACGTAAAGTAGTCAAATGTATTTCCAGAAATTTGCACAGATTGTTTAGCTATTGTTATGTGTTAATCCCATTATTTTTCATAATCAGAAATGTAAATTGTGAACAGATTGTATTGTTTTCCCTACAGAAAGGCAACATAAATTAGGGTGTACTTTCTGATCCCAATACAGTGCAAAATATAGGGGGTAATATGACTATCTTTATGGTCTTTAAGACATTTCTAAGTAATAAAGCTACTTTTATAAACAGGAAAAACAGTTTGCCATAGTAGACAGTCATCTCTGTATGTCCTTAAACTGAGAGGAGATGGGTTGTTTAAGAATAGTTGTAGTTCATGTTTCCTATTCTCTTCAGTATCTGTTTTTTTCTGTTGACAGTTATTGCCTCTCCTGCCAAACTGCTGACAGAGCTGAGAAAAGGGTCATCTTCAGTTTATTCTGCTTCCTCAAACGCAAAAATCTAGATGTGCTTATGTACCTTCCTCACTTCTTACCCCTCTTTCTGCCTGCACAGTTAAAACACTTGCTGGAAATAAACTTGGGGGCAGTAGTGGCTTTGCATTGCAGGAAAAGGGTGGTAATGTTAGAGAACAAATACAACGTACACGCTGAATGTAATACACTATTTCAAAGACTATGTTTTCAAAGAGTTGAATGCCTTGAGGACTTTAGAAACTGAACAGCAGGGCAGCTACCAGTATCTGTTTCACAGTAAACTTTAAATTTTGTATTTTTCAATGGGGGAGAGAAGTGGGTTGGAAATCTGATGTTTTACTGATAGGAACCAATTCATGTTTTATTTTCTAGATGTCCCACTACATTGGTATGTTCTCAGTATACTTCACTTCTAGTTATGTTCTTCTAAATGTGCATACACAGCGTGGGTGGGTTTTACTTAATTTAAATTTAGATACAGCCAACTATATATATTTGGGTTTTTTAAACCTTCTTTTGTTAGCAAATAAGACTCTTTTTATTGTATTCCTTTCACAGGGACGAGGAGTAGTTACTAACTATCTGGGGTATTGAATTAAGTTATTTTGATGTTCTTTTTGGTATTGACAGATTTCAAAGCATCTGTATCCTTTTCAAGGCTAGTTCGAGACTACCTATGCTAAAAGGAATCCATTGGATAAAGGAAGCTCATCAGTAACTCTGCTTCTGTTCTCCAAGTGTTGCAGGTGGAGAGCTCTTCGACTTCTTAGCCGAGAAAGAATCTCTCACAGAGGAGGAAGCCACAGAATTTCTCAAACAGATACTTAATGGTGTTCAGTATCTCCACTCTCTGCAAATTGCCCACTTTGATCTTAAGGTGTGTTGAGCAAATAAAAACTTCGACAACTGTAAGCAGTTTCCATTAAAGTCCTTTGTAACACCAGCCACAAATCCACCGTCATGCAGACCTTGGCAGCAGTTTTGTTTTGCTAGCTTATGTAGACTGGGGGAAAGGTCAGCCATTGAAAAGAAATTACTGAACCATAAATAGTTCCCATCTGGTTTTAATGTAAGATTCTTCACAGAAAATGGCAACTTCCGATGAAATTAAACCATTCTGGGGAAGCAGTCTCAAAATAAAAATGATGATTATGATTTTATGTAATGTGAACGGGATCTGGATGAAATAATCTCAACAGGATGCATTTTTTAACTTTTTTTTTTTTTTTTGCTGTCGTGTGTTATTTATAGGTACTAAATTGAAACAGTACAGAGTTAAATACAAACATTCTTACGGAGCAAACAGAGCAGCTCATTTTGTCTGCTTTTTTTGCTCTTGGGGCTTTTTTATTCATTTTCTGAAAGCCTGTTAAATTGCATCCTTTTGATAATGAAAAGATATCTTTTGTATCTAAACTCAGTTATTGCTTTCTTAATGTTTTAATTCCAGAATGTTTTCTTCTGTAAGATTTTTTTCAGAGGTAGGCAGCTGAACATACCCTGAAGTTGGCTGAAGTTGGCAGCTATATCCATAATAGGAAAAGGAGTCATAATTATTACATTGCAGTGCAGTTCTGAAAGGGGTGCTGCGTTCTGAGCATGAGGTAGAGAAGGAAATGATTTTTAGAATAAGCATACCTTTCCCAGTCTCATCCTCATTGCCTACAGTAATATACTTGGTCTTTATATGACAGTTAACAAGAGAAAAAAATTGTGAATCTAGTAAGACATACATTTGTTACAATATGAAATGTAAATTTTGGCCAAAATTGGCAATGTAATAATACAAAGCACCCTTTCACCAGATACCAAGAACATAGGAATTGTATGCAACAGGACTCAAAGTATGCCGAGCGATAGAAGTACGCAACAGAAATGTAGGAAGGGAAGGAAGAATACTACATTTGCACATATCAGCCCCTCTCATTGGGGAGGAGAGGTAAAAGAAGGGTGATGATGAAAAGCTGAGCTGGATGACTCCAGAAGTCCTGAACAAAGATGGATGTAACTTAAGGAACTTTTCAAAGCATGCCATCTTATGGGCATGTCAGGATATGGAGACTAAGTAGCTGGTTCTGTATCCTAACTAAAGTGATGGACTGTAAAATCAGGCTCCTTTGGTAATCTCAAAATTTTACCTCCTAACTTCATTTATGGTTTTGCAAATCTTTGCTGTAAAATAATCCAAACTCTGTATTCTAAAATAAGATAGAAAAGACATGAGGACCTGTTCTGCTTCGTTTTTTGTCAATATGTTGAACCTTAAAATCTGGGAGCTGGACCACTCAAAAAGTTTATGTTGGAGATCCAAAGGCAATAAGATATACCTCCCTGACTGCTTGTAGTGTGAAAGAAACTTCTTTCAAGGAGTAATGTTAACCAAGCCCAAATGCTAGTTTATGTGACTTTGCTTCTTGCCAAGTTCCCAGGGCTGGTTGAATGGCTGTTGTACAGAAGTTGTGGTCTTCAGGGAAGACAGCGTGTTTCACTTACGGTCAGTCCACAAGAAAACTGCAGCTGTTGTATCTACAAGAGCTAAAAGCTTGCCCCTGTGGAAATCGTAGCACTCTGTCATCAACACAAAATCCTAATTTACTGTAGTTAATTTTTAGCATATGTTACATCATAATAGGAAAAGGTGGGATTTTTCTGTTGAAGACAGAATTTTAGACTGAGAAGTGTTCAGTGCTGAGTAATGCTGATATGTATCGCACATTTTGTACCTATGTATAATCTCTCCTTCTCTTTCCCTTTCTCCTTCTCAAAGCCTGAAAACATAATGTTGTTGGACAGGAATGTACCAAAGCCTCGAATCAAGATTATTGATTTTGGTTTAGCACACAAAATTGACTTTGGAAATGAATTCAAAAATATCTTCGGAACGCCGGAGTTTGTTGGTAAGAAAACTGTTTTTTCTTCAAACTATTCTTTTCAGTCTATGAAACAGAATTTGTGGCACAGCTTGGTTTGGCTGAGATACAGATTATGCACTTTGTGTGTAATTCATGACATTTTGCAATGTAAATAAGCAATTTGTATCATTCAGTTCCAACTTAGACTTGCATTAAGGTGTCTTTATCAACATCTTAGCTTATTATCTCTGACATGTATAGGCTCAGAGTGACATAGATCTGTTCTCTGACTACGTACTGATCTTCCTGCTTTCTCCTTTAGCTCCTGAAATAGTAAATTATGAGCCTCTTGGTCTTGAAGCAGATATGTGGTAAGTTATTGGATCTTATTTGAAGTAAATCTCTCTTGATTATTCTTATGTTCTAACCTTTTTTTTTTTTTTCTCTCTCCTCTCTGTCCCTCCATCTGTTTCTCTACCCCCTCCCTCACCCATTTTTTTTACCTTTCACTCCAGGAGCATCGGTGTAATAACTTATATTCTGTAAGTACCAAAATCTGTGGGTGCTCTTGAAAATGCTTTTTCTTTTTTTTTTTCTTTTTTTTTTCTTTTTTTTTTAATTCTGATTCCATCATCTGGATTTTCAGTGGTGTTCGTAGAAGTCAAACCATTTTGATTGCACATCATGTTTCAAGTTGAACAATCATAAAGTAATAATATATTTACTGAAAGGAAGGCCATTAATTAGCATTAAGATAGCATGGGAAGCTGTCTTCAGATCTGTAGATGATTTTCCACAGTGGCTTTATCTTGGTCAGTATTCCCTGAAATAACAGCAAAGCTTTTTGCCCTGCTACAGCACATCCTCCTGAAAGTCTGTTTGCAGTCTTAGAGCAGCAAATAAAAATGTTCGCTTTTCTACTGTTAGTTGCCCTCAGAAGGTTGGAACAGCAATGTTACAACATGAAATGAGAGGAATACCACTTATCTTGCAGACTAAGTGGTGCATCACCATTCCTTGGAGAAACAAAACAGGAAACATTAGCAAATGTGTCTGCTGTGAATTATGAATTTGAAGAAGAGTTCTTCAGTAATACCAGCGCGCTAGCTAAAGACTTTATACAAAGACTTCTAGTCAAGGATCCAAAGTGAGTTGTTTCTGTTGTGTATACACTGTTGCAGCCTATGTCTCTAGTGTTTCAAATTCACGTTATGTTTTTAGATGTTAGTTTAAGAAACATATAGCTGTATGTATTTTTTACTATCTGAAACAGTCTTGCCTTTTATTCTATTAAAGGAAGAGAATGACTATTCAAGATAGTTTGCTGCATCCTTGGATCAAGGTTAGCATGTCATTCATTCTGTTGTCCTGTTTTTAATCATTCTTCATTTCGTACTTCGCTTTCATTTTTCAAGTTCCTTAACAGGGAAAATTGGCATAACTGTTTGATATAACTTACTGTTTTGTAAAGCTGTCTGTATGAAAGCTAATAGGTGCAGAATGTGGACTTCTTTAATATATCCTCTATGTAAGTCATCAGTAGGGATGTAGCCCACTGTTGAGATGAGTGCTTAGGCAGAGAAGGTAATCTTCAGGGAGCATTGCACTGACAAAGATACATTCTCTGACCCCTGGTCAGTTTCCTGTCATGTTTTCATCTTTTAATCTCCTTCTTTATACTGGGAGGAAAAAAATGAAAAGGGTCATCTCTTCTGTCCTTCCTCTTTAAACTGAAGAAAGCAGTTAATGCAGGGCAGTGGTCTGCTTCTTCCAGTGTTCCATAGTGTGTGATTTGCTTTGAGCTGTTGTGGTGTTGCTAGGTTGAAAGGGAGGAAGTGGGACTCATACTTCTTAATGGGTATAGTAATACCTGCCACTTAATTTTTTTTTCAAATTCCATACCACATTCTGATTGTGAGTAGTAAACCTCTTCAGTGCCATTGATTTCCCAGGTGTTAGGAATTCACAGTGTGTATTTGACCCCATTCACTTCCCAGAGAGCTGGTTAGCAGAATATTTACCCATGCCACAACTGTTCCAATCCAGTTCAGCATTGTAGTGCAGACATTTCTCCTCCTATACACCAAGCTACAGATTTGACTGTGCTTTCCTGAATTTTGGTGGGATAATCTCAAATAGTTGAAACATGCTGAAATGATTTCATATACTGCAAGCTTTGCCCAGTTTTGTCTCTCAGGGACCAAGGCCTCCACTCTGCAACAAGGCATGTTGTTTTGTACCCTTTTATGGTCCTTTATATCTTAACTTTCCAGGCATTTTTCCCCCACCATACTGATCGTATCTTCTCTTTCCTGTTCCCTTCACTACCTTTACCTGCATTTCTCCATAAAAATTACTTCAAGTATGGGAACGTATAGTCTAAATTTGGTATGTTCCACAAGTAGCTGGTGTAATATCCAGCTGATTACACTGAGACTGGAACAATGTTTGGTTGCATTTAGAATCAGCAGGAAGCCTTCCAAGAAGACAGGATTTATTTAGGAGACATCCAGTGCCTCTGTCATAGAGGGAGGAGAAGGATAAAGCTGAATATTCTGTTGAGTGTTGACTTATTTTGTTAAAAATGAAAAAAAAAACAGATTTTACTATTGCATGAAATATTCTTAGGTCTGGATTTTCTTCAGGGCATTTTCTGAGGAAATCCTGTCTGCATGCGCCACTAGGCTGTGGATGTTAAAATGATGTGCTTACGATTACTTTATTATTACAGTATTATTATAATGTAAGTGGAAGTCATCACTGAAGGACAGAGTCTTGCATACAGAAAGGTATTTTAGGAAAGTTCTGGATGTAATTTTGGGATTTACAGTTTTATTTTCCTGTTGCACATAGCCTAAAGACACCCAGCAAGCACTTAGTAGAAAAGCATCTGCAGTGAATATGGAGAAATTCAAAAAGTTTGCAGCACGACGGAAATGGAAAGTAAGTCATTCAATAAATCTTAAGAAAATAGGTGACGTACAAATGCGGTAGTAATACTTACCTGCTCCAGGGAAACATCAGTGCCTTTAGGAGTGAAAAAGGAGGAAGAAGAAACCCATTCCTCTGTCATTTGGAATATGGTGGTATGGGAGAAGACTTCTTTGTTAGTGATCTGCATGCAAATGTGTGTGTATGGATTTTTTGTTTTATGCCTCTAGCTGTATGCTGTCATCTCTCTTGGTAATGTTTTCTAACATTTCTAAGGCATTTCTAAGTGTAGGTACATGTTTTTGTGACAATAATCCCAATAAACAAAGCATTGTTTAAGCAGGCCTCAGAGAATGAAATGCTCCGGTACTTATGCCAACACTTCACAGAGTAGGAGGGAAAAACTAGTCTCTTTTGCAGAGGAGTTTTGGTCTGAGATTGCCAACCTGTTCAGAAGGTTGGCATCGGTTATTTTTCCAGAAGCGAGGCAAGGTATTAGTTGAAAGCATTGATTTGTGCAAGGAGCAGTTCATTGAGACAGGTCCTTCGTCCTCCAGCATACACATAGGGGAGTTCACACTGAGGCTAAACGAGGGCATGAATGTTGTATGTGAAATCTGTTTTATCATGAGGAGAGATGAGACGTGAGACAAGAGAGGTCACTGTTATTAGAAAAGGAGTTTCATTCATTGTCACAGAGGCCAGGAAATAGGATGATTTTGCTAAGCTATGGTCTGAAGGCACAAAATGTTCAGGCAGGCAGTACAATGTTTTTTTCTGCAGTTCAGTGGCTGTGATAGGTGAACATCTATGGTGTTTATAAAATTCAAGTACTAGTCTGCTGCCTTAAAATGAAATAGTGGGTCTAGGAATATCTTAAACTGATTTGACACCTGGCATTTAAAGGAATGCTGTCAGCTAATTCACACTCAGTTTAGGTTTTCTGTGTGTAAATGCTTTAAAGTAGTTACATTTAAATGTTTTCAATGTAAGTCAGAGGATGTAATACAAATCAGGTTTGCTTTATTTTGAACAACATGATGAAACAGTAGTGATCCTAAAATAATATATAGCTTTGCTTAGTGTATATGTATACCCTGTTTGCATTATAAATGGCAAAAGAATTTGAAGATTCAGATGCAATATAAAAAGGAGATGAGGGTGTTGAATTCAAGCTCCACTTTGTTTTGCTAATATGACAGTATTCCCTTTTAATTTTTTTTTAATATAGCTTTTTTCTTTCTGTTTTTGAAAAGCAATCAGTGCGCTTAATATCCTTGTGCCAAAGATTATCGAGATCTTTCTTGTCCAGAAGTAACATGAGTGTCGCTAGAAGTGATGATACTCTGGTAAGTGTATACTTACATGCTTAGAATGCTTTATTACATCTGAAACTTAACGTTTTCTGAAATTATTTTAACAGAAATATTGGGTTGTTAAAAATACGGCGATTAATCAATCTCTTATGTAGGATGAAATAGATAATAAGGCTGCAGAGATCAGTTACTGATAGTCTGATTTTCTGCACGTCACAAACCTTGAAGTTGAATTTATTAATTACCGTGGTGAGTTTGATAGCTAGAGCCAGAAATTCATCTAACTTTGTTTTTATTCAAGAGGATTTTTTGTGCTGTAACAATTATAATGTGAAAAAGTTGCATCTGAATTTTTTTACGGCACTGTGTAGAGTAAAATAATATGGCATTTTTTAACAGAATACTCAAAATCATTGAAACTCTTAGATTCAGTGAAATGCTAGACAGCAGTATCACAAGCTGTTATTTATTTAAGGGGGTGTCATGGTTTAAACCCAGTCAGGTAGCTTGTTCACTCACTCCCAGTGAGTGGTGCCGAGCTGACAACAATCGAGGTCCGTGTCCGTCTCCCCCCCCCGCCTCCCCGCACCGGGGCTCTCCCCTTCCCCGCTCCCGGAGGAACGGGGAGGAGGATCGAGAGAGTGCAACTCCTACGGGTTGAGACAAAAACAGTCCAGCAACAAATCACCACCGCTACTATCAGCTACAACAATGATAAGGGAAAATAACAAGGGAAGAGAATACGATACCACCGGCCAAGAAAACGAGTTCCACCCGGAAGCCCCTGTCCTTCCGAGTAACTCCCAGTTACCCCTCACCCTGGGCATGACGTGCTGTGGTATGGAATACCTCCCCGGCTAGCCCGGGTCAGGCGCCCCGTCTCTGCTTCCTCACAGCCTCCCCTCCTCCCTGGCAGAGCATGAGCCTCACAAAGTCCTTGGCCAAACCAAAATATCCTTGTTATCAGCTCTGTTCCCGAGCTGAAAGTCAAAACACTGCACTGCACCAGTTAACACAAAGGAAAAACATGACTGCTACTGCGGAACCCAGGACAGTTGGCCAATAATCAGTTTGTAATATTGCATTTACTAGATTTAAGTAGTCAGAAGCAATTGCTGTATGCTTTGTAATTACAAATGCTTGTAAATGCAAAAACATTCTTCTTTAGCTTACTCTCCAGGTTTTAATACACGTGTCACAAATTCCCTGTGATCAGCAACTTACGTATGTTAATATGTTTAGAGCTGGGTAACCTCATCTTTCAATGCATTAATAGGATCAAATGTCAAATATTTTGCAGAGCCCTTTTTATCCATATTATCTTCCCTGTGCAGCTCTCCACTCATTTCTACTTTTCTTCCTCTTATCTTTCTACTTCCATGCTCTTTGTTCTCTCCATCTTGCCCTCCTTTCTCTGCCTCCCCCACCTCAGCTATCATTATGACTTTTAACACTGGATCAGCATTTCAACCTATGTTGCAGCAGAAAGGATTGTAGCCTAATGTTAGTGTTCTAAAAAAATCTGAAACCTCAGGAGACAGGAGGTAGGAGTAATACAAATACTGGACTCAGTGATTTTCAGTTCTCTGACATTTTACTGCATGGAAAAAAAAACAACCAAGCGACAAAATTACAGCTGCAGAGGGATCTAGGCTCATTACTTACATTCTAGACTTTTAACTGGTCCATTTGAATAAATGAAAGCTTTATCCAAAGCACTTCTCCTATGTCATAGTCATGGATGGTGCAAGACTTGATATTCCAGTTTGTATTTGTGTACTTCTTGGTATTTTTAATGTTCACATATATGCATGGAATTAGTTTCATTTGATGCAAGTACTGCATCTACTGGAAGTCCTAGGAGGAAAAGGAAAGTACAACTAATAAAAGAAACCTGTTTGGAATCTTGATGAGTAATGGGTACATATGTGAAGAAAGGGGAAACTTAACAGTAATGGAAAAAGTGAGGGGGGTTTTGATGTGGGTTTTCTTTTCATATAACTTGTGGACATGTTAGCCGTATGCTTCACAAAGGGTTACAGCTTGCAGCTGAAGACTTTGAAAATGTTACTTTTTTTTTTACATGTCTTGGCAGCTGTTGAGATTGGGATTTTTTTCCTTTAACAATTTTTCTTCTTTCTTATTTAATTACAAGGATGAGGAAGATTCTTTTGTAATGAAAGCTATTATTCATGCCATCAATGATGACAATTTTCCTGGATTACAGCACCTTCTGGGATCTCTGACAAATTACGATGTCAATCAACCCAACAAGGTAGTGTGGGTCTGCTTGAGGTGCGTGGGGGACTAGCTATCACCCTGTTGAATAGAGCAGCATGGTTGTAAGATAGAAATACAACTCCCAAAAAGAAGAGACCAGTGGATGGGAAATGATTCTGACTTTCTTTAGGAGAAATTTTAATGTGTTCTGTGTTCAGACTTCTCAAACTACCTGAAAATGGAACCTAAAATATTTGGGTTTTTTTTGTTTGGTTTGGTTGTTGTTGTTGTTTGGGGTTTTTTCCCCCCTAGGCCTTTAAGAAAGTGTTAATGGAATGGTGTTGTCAAGAGCAGCGGTATATCAGATGTTAGCCTTTGTGGTTGTTTCTTGTGGCAGATGAACATGGCGGAATATGTAGGAATAACCAGACTGTCAAATCTGTATTTTGAGAAATATTCATGAAGAGCACTGTAAAGTGAAAGCATCTGTTATTTTACTTTTTTTTACCTTTAAAAAAATCAGTGGGTTTGTGTTTTAGTGGTGCAGTCCCATTTAACTTTCCTATATGTTGCTGGTGTCTTGCGTCTTGGCAAATACCTTAGGTAATCCAGCTTTAAATGTAGATATGTAGATATAAAGGAGTTGCAGAGGGGATCATACTTACCTGACTGGCCTAATGAGAGCCTAACATTAATATTCCAGATTTGAAAAACATATCTTTAATGTGTGATGTATCATGTAGTAGATGTGAATTCATCCCAAAAATTTGGAAGATTGCCATGCAATAAATTTCTTTGGTCAAGGGGACAAATTATTTCTATACAGTGTTCCCTGAAGACATAATTTGAAACTAGAAACCCAGAGATGCCATTCAGTACTTGCTTTTTATTCCGCTTTCTTTTCTTAAGCCTTCAAAAATTGAATAGATTGTTCTCATTTGTATTTCATTGTTAGCATGGAACACCTCCGCTACTGATTGCTGCTGGCTGTGGAAACATTCAGATGCTTCAGTTGCTTTTAAAGCATGGATCCCGTATTGATGTTCAAGATAAGGTCAGGGTTTTTCTTTGTCACCATTCTATGTAAGTTATTTGGTACAGTTAGGAGAAGACAAGCAGTTCTGACCAAGTTGTATTGGAAACTAAAAAATGCTGGCTGTAGAGCCCATTTACTGTCTTCTACAGCAAAAAGATAAATGCAAATCTTTAATAATGTCATTTGTTTCTAGTGCATATCCTCTGATTTTGATCACTTTATTAGCGGAAATAATTTGATACTAATCTTAAAATACAGTTCATGCTTGCAAAATTGTCTCAATTAGTTCAAATTAGTGATTGCCCTGAAACACAGTGGTGAGCTTTATTTATCATGGAATGATGAATACACATGTTAGTGATGAATGATATTGCAACTAGAACTGGTACGTGACAGAAGGTATACTTTGCAGCAAGCTTTTTTCCAAAATGTAGTGTAACAGTCTGGGATTCATTTAAAACAAACTTGAAGCACTGTCTGCTTCTCTATCTGTAGATGGCAAAGTCAGAAACAGAAAGGTTTTTATGACTGTTTCCAAAAAACTTCCCTTAAAAAGAGGAAGAGGATTATCCTTGCTGTTAGTGATCCCGTTAGTCGTCCTTTGCATAGAGGGGGTTTTGTTGTCATCATTGGTATGTGGGGTTGTTGATTCAATTAGAATTTTTTTTAAAGTAAATATGTTCATGTAAACTTTAATATCTGTTCGTTATATCTGTGTACATCAAAGTGCATGTATACCTCATCTGATAATCTAGAATTAGGATTCTAAAAAGATCAAAAAGATCTGTAATTGAATATTTATGACAGGCTGGATCCAATGCAATCTATTGGGCTTCTCGACATGGTCATGTAGAAACACTGAAATTTCTTGATGATAATAAATGTCCTTTGGATGTTAAGGATAAGGTAAGCAAAGAATTCTTTTTCATGCAGAGAGCTTTTTTTCTTATAACTTTATCTTAACAAGGAGAAAGGTCTTTCGGAATGATTTTCATCTGTGCCGTAATTCCAACCATATGACCGGGTTTTTTAGTGTGGTTTTATAAGCTGACATACAGGGCTGTGATAACACAGCTTTAAAGTAGCTGGATGTACTGATTGTTTTCCTGACAAATGTTAACCAAGCATGCATTTTAAGTGTGGTGACTACATGGTGGGTAGGTGGGGAAGTACAAACTTAACTTAATTTTCACTTGAAAACTAGATTTCTCATTGAAACATAGGGCAAAATCGTGATTCTGGTTTTTATTCCTCTTGATTGAAAATCACTTTTGTCTGACAGGTAAATTTGACTGTTATTAAGTTGAATATAATGAAGCCTAACAATTTATAGCTGATGAGCACTTACCTTGTCTCCAGCAGTGTTACTTTAGCAACATTTGCCCTAGAAACTAGTTGCTGTTAAAATCTTATGCCGTTGTGGTGTTTTTATACTGACTAAAGCTGCAGTACATAGGCACTTGTGAAATACAGTTTCCTTAGAGAACTAGTGCAAGGCATATTAGCAAAATTAGTGTTTGACTCCTAATAGGGCTACTAGGAAAGAGGTTATCCTCTTAATAAAAATGCCATTTATTTTTCGTACAACTTCAATAAAAGGTTGCAAATAATTACATGTAATGACCCAAATATGCTAGGACATACCAAGGTGTTAGGCAAGCTCCTTACATTTGTATATATAAGGCAGAGGAGGGGCATATGGGAATAGAATGAATAGAAGTAGGAGGTCTGTTTCAGCACCAGTTGCCCATGCAGTTACCTCTTCATATTGCTCAGAAATCCTGTTGTGGCTGTGACCTGGAACAAGTAAAGTAGGAAAATAAGTTCTGAAAAAGTCAGGCCTTTGAGGAAATAACCTGTCAAGTCTGTCACATACAACTACAGCTTGTAAGGGGAAGATCTGTGCTGACTGAAGCTGTGCCACTGGGTTACAGGGAGGGAGGAGTACCCCATGCAGTGTACATGCCTTGTATTCAGGCTGTACACAGCAGTGTATGTCTAGGGTGACACATGAAATTACAGTGGCATGTTCTTCTGTAATTGCAGTCTGGGGAGACCGCTCTCCATGTCGCAGCTCGGTATGGGCATGTGGATGTGGTTCAGTTTCTCTGTAGCATTGGATCCAATCCAAACTTTCAAGACAAGGTAAGTCATGGAGACTGTTTTTCTTCTACAAATAAGGCCAACCAACTACTGTTACAAAACACAGGCTCTCTCAGAAAGCTTAAAGAGGGCAAAAGTCAACATCACAAAGGTATGGGTGGTGGTTTGTGCTCTGTGAGTTCAGGGGTTTGCATCTCCTTGGTGAGTGTTCTGTTTTAAACATTGGATTAGTCTCTCAGCACACAGGATTTAGAAGTTTCTTATGAAAGAGAATGTTTTCAAGTGAGAGAACCAAGACAGTTAGCTCAAGAGCATGGAACCATCTAAACTAAGACTAGATATGCAAGGTATTGTCAGTAGATAGTTTTATGGTGAGAAGTATGGTGAAAATCTATTACATTGCTATAATCACTTGGTATATCAGAAGGCGTTACCTTGCTTTGAGAATGTCAGCATTAGAAACTACAATACCTTTTTCTTTTGTGCCATCTTTCTAAGTTAAGCTGGGGAATTGTTCCTCCTGGCATTTGGTTCAACTCTGCTTTGTTGTTTTTATTTTTTATGTTAATAGGAGGAAGAAACCCCACTGCATTGTGCTGCTTGGCACGGCTACTACTCTGTTGCCAGAGCACTCTGTGAAGCAGGTTGCAATGTGAACATTAAAAACAAAGAAGGGGAGACTCCGCTTCTGACAGCATCTGCTAGAGGTTACCATGATATAGTGGAATGCTTGGCAGAACATGAGGCTGATCTTCATGCAACAGACAAGGTTAATTTGAGTTTCTTTTGGTCAGGAATTACATCCAGACATCAAAGGTGTCACAGAGCCATCTTTTTGAATTGCTTCATTTGAATGCTTCATTGTTTCCATTATGTGGATTTTCTGAGTAATTCACACAGACACTCTGGGGGTGACTGCAGCAGTCTTTAAAGTTGGCTGCTGTTTATTTTTCCATGGTTGGGATTTTGCTGATTCATCATCACCTTATCAATTACCACCTTATCAATTACCACCTTATGAGTTACACTGTACAAAAGGCAGGAACTTTGGGTTCTGTAACTGGCAACAAACTGTTAAGAGAAAAAATGATGGATTTACTGTTTGCCTTTGATTCCCAGTGGTTGGATAAATCACAGCTATTTTCAATAAGTTAAATTCTAACTACTTAAAAATGTAACTCTGTTTAATTCAGAATCAGGTTTTGTCTTTCATGGTGTAATCCCAAGAAAGAAATTTAACATTTCATTGCTAGCACTTTTGGTATGTTTGTCCTCTTATTGCTGTTTAGTTACTAAAGCAAGTTCAGAAAAATGCTTTTGCTTCTAAAATGTGCTTCTAGTCACACTGTCTCTTTTAGTTATTCTGCAGAGAGAAAGCCCTGACCACTAAGTAGATTGCATGACTTTTGCATCACTAATTTCTGTAAGCAAACGCTAGAGTGGTTTACAATATTCAACTGGTTGTTACAGTTGGCCACTCTCTCGCCTCCTAGGGAAGCTCTTAGTAAAGAATGTGTATTTGCATTTCATCCATTCCACTGCAAAGCCTGGTGGCTTAATAGAAATTTGCTTTTATGCCATACTGATTTGTTCTGACAGATACTGTGCATCTCACTGCCTCCACGCTCGAAATAAAAGCCGTTGTGATTCTTGAGGCAAGGAGATACACCCAGTTACGTGAAAGTATGGTGACTCTGCAAAATGCTTTGATTTTTAACATTATTAAATCTCACTTACACGTTGTCTTGTTATTTCAGGATGGTCATATAGCCTTACACCTTGCTGTGAGAAGATGTCAAATAGAAGTAGTTAAAACTCTCATCAGTCAAGGATGTTTTGTAGATTTCCAAGACAGACATGGCAACACTCCCCTGCATGTGGCCTGCAAAGATGGGAATGTTCCTATTGTGATGGCACTCTGTGAAGCAAGTTGTAATTTGGATGTCACTAATAAGGTAAATGGAATATGGATGCTGAACTCCTTTGTTTAATAGCTCACCTGTTGCATTAGATGACCTTTCCAGTGCTCTGATACAAAAAATATTTTATCTCTTGAAGTGGCCAAATGCAAAGCATTAAACAAGTCGCTTTGCACATTTGCCTAAGTTTGTTTCAGTTGAGTAGATGATTAAAGATACATGAAAAGCTCACCCAGTTGAAATATCACAGTGTACTTTGCCACTCAGCTCTAATGTTGAAGTATATGCCAACCTTCTTCCCTATCTGGATTGCTTTGCTTTGTGCAAATTACATCTAGGCACTGGAGAACAGATAATATGCATTGCTGCTGGCCTTGATTTGATGTGATTTAAAACCAGTAATTTGTATACAGAATCGAATGTACAGTTTTATGAAAAATATGTTTTGAATTCTTCCAAATTACATGAAAAGATCTGTACTGACACCTACCAAAGGATTTAACTCAACTGCACATTCTATTCCCAGTTATAAAAGTAAGTGTCATATTGGCTGGTTTATGTTTTTCTGCATTGAGTTTATTACAATAAACCGTAATAAAACATTTATCTTAAAATAGTTTAAATTTATTTATTAAACAGATTGTCACTGCCAGGGTACAGGAACCTCAGAAGTAAAATGTTAAATGTAAAATCATTTTCAAAAGTTGAAGTTGACAGTCTAAATAAGGTGCTTTTGGGGAATTTTCTTGCTGCTCATTGTTTCAAAAACACATGACAATTGTAGACACCCTTGGTAAATGTTGTAATGCTAAAAATGTTGATTCCAATGCATATCACTCGGTTACTGCCAGGTAAAAATGTGAACTGTCCATAATTTTTGTAAGCACTTGCCAAAAGAATATATAATAGCTGTCCCTAAACTTTGAGATAGTAGTATCTTTTTTGCTGCTTCTGTTGTGCTAGTGCTGCAGTCACTGTATGAGATAATTGACTGTGATGCTTTACAGGTTTCTGTAAAGCATCATGCCACATTCTGGCATCCTCACCAGAGATTTTCAAGAGAAGTAAGCAGTTTCAGGAAATTTTCCTTTGGTTAGTTTGAATAGGTTAAGGTCAGCCATTGGACTCCGCTGATGGGGCTTAGGCCACAATACTTAGTTTTGAATATCTTTCTCTGCCCTTTTTAAACTTTATATATGCTATAAAGCTTAAAAGTTACTCATAGGAATATTCACATTGCTTTCTGCAATTTGTTTGATTCAGGTGTTGTAGATTCTTTGTGTTTCTGGAAAAGTACATGTGCTGGTAATTACATTTTGCCAGTTAACACTTCCATTTATTACCCAAGCACTGACCTTCTCCGTATTCATCAGCTAAATGACTTTTGCTTGAGGGCTATCCAGTGCAATCGCTTTTGGTTTTAATAATTAAAATCATCAGCTGCCGAGTGAAAGAAACTTAAAATAATGAGCTCCACAGTCCTGCCTCTAAGCTTAAACCTGACTGACTAAGCCATTAAATCAAGATCCACAGCTGAGAACACACTTTGGGGAATGTGAGTTAAGCACAAGGCTGGATTAGCACCTCTTTTCCTAATGGAGAATGGCATCAATGGCCTGGCTGCAAGCATGGTCTGGAAAAAATAAATCAGTCTTTGAGTTCAGTGGGGGTAGGATCATGTTTATAGCTTGTGTTCTGTTACTCTTTTAACAGTTGTGTATACAAGAGTGATTTTTAGAGTGTTCTTTATTTGAAAGGGTGAGTTTGGGTCTTATCAAATAGAGAATATTTATTTCTGCTGGTCCTCTTCAGCAGTGAGCCCTGTAATGGGAGTGCATTAATATAATTAATGACTGTTTATCCTTAGTCCCACATGTACATAATACCAATTGAGGACATCATTTCTTTTTTCCATAGACTATGTGCAGTAAAACATCGTACACATTTACATATTACAGAATCATTTAGGTTTGAAATTGCCTTTAAGATCATCATAAACATAAAACTGCCAAGTCTACCACTAAGCCGTGTCCCTAAGACCTACACATCTTTTACATATCTCCGGAGTCGGTGATTCAACCACTTCCCTGGGCAGCCTGTTCCAATGATTGACAACCCTGTCAGTGAAGAATTATTTCCTAATATCCAGTCTAAATCTCCGCTGGCACAGCCTGAAGCCATTACCTCTTGTCCTATCACTTTGGAAAAGAGACCAGAAACTTCCTGGCTCCATCCTCCTTTCACGTAGTTGTAGAGAGCGATAAGGTCCCTCTCTGAGCTTTCTCTATTTTATGTACTTCCAGACTAAACAACCCCAGTTCGCTCAGCCGTTCCTAACAGGACTTGTGCTCCAGACCCTGTACTAGCTTCATTGCCCTTCTCTGGACCCTCTCCAGCACCTCAATGTCTTTCTTGTAGTGAAGGGCCCAGAACTGAGCACAGGATTCAAGGTGCAGCCTCACCAGTGCCAAGTACAGGGAGATTATTACTTCCCTAGTCTTGCTGGCCACGCTAGTTCTGATACAATCCCAGATGCTATTTGCCTTGAGGTATAGAGTTTTGAGGAGCTGGGCATCTCAGTTTCCAGTTGTCAAAAAGTTAGCTTTGATTTGAAACATCCTTTTGTGAAGCTATTTTGTGAGTTTGTTTCTGAATGTAGGGTTGAAACAGGGAGACCAGTAATGAAAGCATGAAAATATATGAAGTAGTATAAGAGGAGTTACACGCAGAGAATATATGGTAGTGATATTTACAACAGTAGCTTCGAACACTGAAGACCAGAAGTGGATGTCGTGAGCACTTGTTGGCAGTGAAGAGAATCACAAAGAAAAGCAAAAATTTGGGAAGCAATACTTACAGCACTTTTCAGCTGTCACTGAAAGCACAAATTCCTTCAGCCTGACTTCTTGCATTCATTCCTCTTATTCCTTTCAGTGGAAGGGGAAGACTGCAGATACGTAGTCTTCAATAACTTGGATTGAAATAAAATCCAGAGTTTTAAAGGTTAAGGACTTAGTGTTGCTTAACTGGTTCATATTTAATTAAGCAAAATGCAATTAGATTTCTGGAAATTAAAACCACATTCTCAAATACAGGCAAAAAAAATCAAGGATTCCTTTAGAGTTGTGGGGCATTCAGCTATAAAATTGTTTCTCATTTTGTAGCAGTCGCTCTAGCCTTTCTTTTTAATTAAACTTTAAGTAGTTGTACTTAAGCTGTAACCAAAAGTACTTTTTCTTACAGTTTTTACTGTGTATCAGGATGTATAATTGTAAAATAAATTTGATTATTAGTCATAAAATTTAAGTTCTTTGACTAATGTCACTTTATTCACCTTTTTAGTATGGAAGAACACCTTTACATCTGGCAGCAAACAATGGCATTCTTGATGTTGTCCGTTTCCTGTGTCTAACTGGGGCCAATGTAGAAGCTTTAACTTCTGTAAGTATTGAGAGATACTTTTATGCTTACTGCTTTTCTTATGTATGATAGTAGGAAACAAATTAATTTAGAGAGGGGTGAATTTTGAAATTGATCAAGGTACACTATAGCTACCACTTCATTTATACCTAAGAATTTCTTGACTTAATAATTACTTACAGCACTGTGTTTTCTGTAAGCACACAGAAATGTGTGCTTAATGGCAGGGCTGCTGTTATGAAGGTGTACATCATTTCACATCACGTACAGTTGCCGTACAAATGTACTGTATATATATTAAATATTTTTCTTGCTTTCAGGAGATTAAAAAGTTTTGTTTTCATGGTGGGAGATGTGTGGGTTCATGGATGAGTGAACTAGCATGCAATTGTCCTTGCAAAGCAAATCATTTGTGTCAGAGCAGTCAGCACCACTGCTGCCAATTAGCAATACTGAAGGTATTTTTCATTCTCACTAATATGAGAAACGTCCTCCTAGCTGACACATCCACAGCAGGGATGAAGTGTCCTTCATCATACACCTTCATATGCATGTGATACATTTTAGGCATCATACACACCACTACCTGTGTTTTGAACAAACTAAACATATTTTATTTTCAAATGCATTAGATACGTTTGCATAGCTACTTGCCCTAACCAGTGCATTCTGCTCAGAAAGAACTATTGTTCTGTATATTGAAATCATGTTGTGATTAGATTTTAGTAGAGTCCATGTTTTTCAAAATTTTCTAATAAATTACTCCTGAGATGGCTGAAATGGAGGGGGGAAAAAGGAGAAAAAAATCTGTTTTATTTGCAAACAAAAAGGTGACAGGCGAATTCTTGAGCTGTGTTGCTTTGTGTCATGATGACAGCCGTTTTGGTATAGTTACCTGTATGCACCCTGTCCTTCCAAGATAAAAGTACTTTTTACCTTTAGATAGTTTGAAAGGCTTAACAAAATGAATCGTGCTGATACTAAATGTGGCAGAAGCAGATTGAATACATAACTGTCCATTATTCTAGCATTGTTGTAGCAAAGAGAAAGGAAAAGGAGGAGAGGGAGAGAGGAAGTGAGTGTTGTGATTTTAATAGAATTTCAGTTTTGTGTTAGTTTTCCAGGTAGATGTTAAACTGTTCTGAAAAGTCTTAGTAACAGCTTTTTCTGAGTCAGCGCGGTAGAATTAATGACCCTTTTCTTCTCTCAGCATGCTGTTTCTGAGGAGTTAACATTTCCAGCACTGTTAAGTAACTGGGCTGCAGTAAGCCCATTTAAGGACTAGTTTATTTGAATTAGATTGCATGAATGCTGTTAAGTAACCTTAAAAAGCCGTAAGTTCCTGAAGTAGACAATCATTTCCAATGTTTGAATGTCACCAGAAAATTTGTGTTGTGCTCACACCCTACCTGGCACCATGTTCTTGGCTTCTCCTCACAGAAGTTTCTAAAATTGTACCAAGTTTAAGATTGTCAAATTACTTAAAACCTTTGAATGGTGATGCTTGCACATGGCCAGTTAAACCCAGGACCAGCTCTTGCAGGCATAGCTGTCTGATTTGCAACAACAGACAGTCAGCAATTGCAGTGAAATGCAAAGGTATGAAATACGGTTTTATTGACCCTGTACCCAAGCCCTTTTCAGATGCCAGTTTTGCTTACACATTGCTGTTGCAGTGTATATATACCCTGTACTTGTCAAGAAAACTTTAATAGGAAAATAACTTACTGAAACACGTTTCATATTTTACTTGGGTATGTATTTTTCTAATTCTTGTTGTGTTCTGCAGTTCATCCTGCTGTGGACACCCAGAGAATGTGCACAGCCTCATCTTGTTTACAGTTTTGGACAAAAAGGGAACTTTCTTCTGTTAATTTCTTTGTCATAGAAGCAAATGCTTTTTCTACATGTTATCTTACTCAACTGAGCTTCCAGATCTGAGCCTGTACTTAAAACAGACATGTGAACTGAACTGCTAGCCTCTGCCAATGTAAACATCTCAAAGTGCTTTTTTGGCCTGAATTTGACCTAGAGTTCTTTCTGCTGTACTTGTTGCCAGCGCTCTGTGGTATCCTTCACTTACACGAGTGGCCTTTCTGCATGTCTTGTTTACTCTGTGGTCAAATGACCATGACTTCAAAACTCGTGCTTGTCAGGCATCGCCCTTGTTAAGGCATTTCGCTGTAAGCAGATGTGAGCTACAAGCCAAGAGTAAACAACACAGCAAGGACAGTGACCTCCACAACAAGGGCTGGCTCCCGCAGTATCCAAGCAAGACAGGCAGAGCAGGTGCAGTGATGGCAACCAGCTTCAGACAGGAATTGGGCTAAGTGACCATGGTCAGCCAAGGGTCTAGTGATACCGGGCAACTCCATAGAGAAGAAACAGGTTCAAGGTCAAACCCAGAAGTTAGGAGGTGGGTCAGTGGGATACATGGCCACACAGACATATAGTTGTGGTGTTGCTCAGGTGAAGACCAAGGGCAAAAGCTTCAGCGTAAGAGCAACGCCCGAGCAAAAAGTAGTGCAAAGCTCCTGGTAGGGCTGCTTTTGAGGTGTTCTTCCTTCACAGCACCAAGATTAGACAGCTATATCAAGCAGCTGGTCTTGAGCTCAAAAACCTATTAAAAAGTGGGGAGGGATCTCTGGGTCATAACAGTGCCACCCCACTTTTACTGGTAGGCTTGCTCTGTTCACACATCTGCTTAGACTGTTAGCAGTTTGAACCATTCTTGTTGCCATTTTTCCAATGAACAACTGCCACCCACACTCCTTTTCAAATACTCACCAGATTATTTCCTTTGTGTTTGTGCCCATATAGTTGTGACTGAGTTAAACAGATGATGTACAGCTGAGTAGCCAAAGTCAGGCTTAAAGCCAAAGCAAACCCCGATGGAGCACTGAGACACAGCAAACAAGGGTGTGAAGTTATCTTAGCCTTGCCAATACAGTTGTTATGTACCATCAAGAGGTGTGGGACCTACTTTGATTCAAAGAAATAATGCCAATGCAGGAATCTGTCACTGCATGCATGCTTGGTGCTGGAGTTTGACAGCCATTTCCAACCGTATGCTGCAGCAGGAAGAGTGCAGGGCTGGGCTCTAACAGTCCTGCTTTGGATTTAAGAGGAGGCCAATGGTTTGGGGATCCAGATAAAATTCACACTTCCGTCTGGGGGAGGCTACATCCCGTTACCATGGGGATCAAGATTTCCCCTTTACTTTAAAGTTTTGGATTCCACTGTATGTGCCCAAGACTGGAAACTTTGGAAGCATTAGAAATATTGAAGAAGCTCTGATGGCAGGCTAGCTGCCCAGCCACTAGACTGCTCTTCCTCTCTTGCAGCAGACACTTGGAATTAACTAGGATTTGGAGAGTAGGGTGAGCACAAATAAAGAATTTTTTTTCCTTTGATACATCTTTAAGGAAAATAAATTTTTAGAAATACATTCAGATGTTTCTTCACTAAAGGTGCAATTACATGTCAGCTGTGGAAGGAATTGAAGGGTAAGGCATTGGTTCAAATTTAGCCAGTTCATGCCATCAACTACAATTTTGTCTGTTTCCTGCTAATGTTCTGTTCTTATTCTGCCTGAATTATCTCTGGAGTACATGATAACTTTTACGGAAACCTGAAAATTGCTTCTGTATGTGGACACTCAATTGTCAAAGGTGTTTATTTCCTATGATACAGTAATTGTAATAATACTGTAATAATTACAATAACCTCAGGAACTACTTAAGACAACGCAGGTTTCACATGAAAAACTAGGAAAATCAAAGGTAGAAACACAAATAAAGAGACCTTAGTTTTCCAGTATTACTTCTTAATGACTGAATGTTTTTATCTGAGAGTGAAAGAAGCAAAGTGCTTGTGAGTTAGCTGTTACCAAATTTTAAATGATACAGTAGCATAAATGTAGTTGTATAAGTAGTGAGCAACTTTCCTTTCAGCCAATTTAATATTAAGCTGCTGACCTCTGAAACATGGGTAATTAAATGGCAAGACCTGAAGAATGCTGAAGGTAGCTTTGCTTTTTTAAGATTTGCTGATGCAATTTAAACAACATCCCTTACAAAGTTCTTGCTTTCTGGAATCCTCCAGTGACTGTTATGCCACTGTCATTCATTTAAACTTCTATGTCTATTCACTGTGTAGAAGTTGCTATCTTCTTCTAATTGATGGGAAGAGAAACTCAGATGGGGAGTACTGGCATCACTCGCAGGTTATAAATTCAAAATATCTTATTGCAGTGGTATGCAGAGGCCAATTTGTGAAAGAAATGCCATTGCTCTTCATTGTACCATATCTTTTTTGGACAACTGAAAAAAAGATGGGGATTCCGGTAGGGTGTGATCAATATTGGTTGTTGTGTGGGTTTTGTTGTGGTTTTTTTTTCCTTCTGCCTATTGCAGTTGCATCTGACAGCAATTCTGTTGCTGCCTTGAGTAGCTGAGCTAAGTTGCATGTGGGGTTTTTTATTGTCAGAAAAAAAAGGAAGGAACTGCTGCTAATATATTTGTGTTTTGACAGGATGGGAAAACAGCAGAAGATCTTGCCAGAGCAGAGCAGCATGAACATGTAGCCAGTCTGCTTGCAAGACTTAAAAAGGTTGGGAATGCATGAATTTTAACTGTGGTTTTCCTGTTTTTAAGATACCAAGAAAAGTTTGACCGTGGAAAATCATGCGATAAGATTCTCATCAAAGCCACTCTGAAGAAGCAGTTGCAAAATCCCTACTGGAATGGTGTCTCTTTCTTTCGGGGAGGAGGATTTTTTTGTTTGTTTGGGTTTTGTGATTTTGTTTTTAATTTAATTCAAAATTATGCCCTCAGTTAAAGCTAGTATGTACATACTAACAAAAATGGCTACACTAACCTGCACCACTAATCTATCATATCCTGTCTCTGACATTGCCTGCAAAACAGCTAAGGTGTTAGAAAAAATTGGAAAATAAACTACTGAGAATTAGCACATCCCACAAGAGGACTTATTTAACCTACCCATCACCATTTTAGTTAGATCAGGGTTATGAAGTATGAGGGGGTTGTGCCTCTTCTGGAAACTAATACCATATGGAAGAGTTGCGTAAGTTTTCAATGTCTTCTTTTAATTCTGGAATTTTAGAATGACAACTAGAACAGAAAGCTCGTCTTCCCAGGAAGCGAGGCTTGTAAGGCAGTAGGTCTGACACATCTGATAGTGCATTGATTATTTTGGACAGGCAGCATCATACAGAATGTGAAGGTTCAGGGACCACTTTCCTGGACATTACAGACAAAAGCCAGACCAGTTAAAAGAACCCTGTTTTAAATATGATGATGGGCCTGGGGAAAACTGAAATAAATGAACATTGCAGAGTAGCAATAGAAGATTGTGCATGCCAGGCATTGCCAAGGTGGAAGTAGAGTCTTATCCTTTAGTCCTGCCAGTAAAACTATACTTGCTACAATTGTAAAGTATATCAGTGAAGATGGAAGAAAGTGCCGAAGTTCAGGCTTCCTTTGCAGTGATAGCTTTTGTAAATGTTTGTGGTAACAGGATCTGGTTTTTGCACAGTTGTATCCCCACACCGAACCCTTGCTGGTGTCTGCAGGCAGATAAATAAAATTGTGGTTTAGTCAAGATCTAGATATGAAATTAATACAAGTTGGCCTGGAACAAAAGGGAGGTCAGATAAATCATCTTCTGAAAGAGATGTTAGTAGTTGTTAACTTTCTTCTTGATAGCAGAGTACATTTAATTATCGAAGCCCTGCATATATATATATATATATATATATATATATATGTGAAACATGTCTTATATACTTCATCAGCACAGTCATTGCAACAGAGTCAATCTAGTCAATCGAAATGAATGAATTACATCAAACCACTAACAATACTCTAGTATTATTCAAAATGATCAATATAATCTAGTACAGAGCGTGCCTGACACTTGTTATCTTTTCAGTGCTTGTGAAGGGGTTAGTTTCTAATAGCACATGTGAAGAACCTACTGTCTTTAGTGTTACCTAGCGGTTTTTAGAGAGGATTCAGTATTAGCCATAAGGGGTTCAGTATTTGCATTGTGACTACTTAATAAATGTCTGTTGGTGAGGAAGGAACTAAATTAAATGCACTACTATTTCTGTCAAATTTCTCAGCTTAATTGCTGCATGCTTATAATTTTGGGGAGCTGTAGGTGCTCATCTAATGACTCATCCTACGTGTTAAACTCAGTACAAACGCAGAACAACAGAGCCTCTGTCTCAGCTCCAAATAGGGGAATGAAGGAAGGGAAGATGAAGCTACTTCCTTTGCCTTTTCACTTTTCTGCTATCTCCAAATTTTCTTAAAGCCCGTCTTTCTGTGGCGAGAGACACGTGATAGTTTGCTGTCCTGCACTGCACCCCCTTGCTAAATTGAGTTTCCAGGCTCATTTTGTGTGGGAAAGATTATCCATTTCTGATTACCTCTTGCTGAGGAAAAAGAAAGGACAGATTTGATTTGTTCGTTCCTATCTTTGGCAGGAGCAGGAGTGTCCTTCAGATACTAAAAGAAAAGATACAGATGAGTAATGGGGAAGCTGAAAGCTCTTCTGTAGATGTGATTGGGTTTGAAGAAGGCCTATGTAGGAGGATGAGATTGCAGCTATGAAAGAGACAATGAGTGCAAACAGAGGGCAAACTGTGAAAGGTTAATTGAGTAGGGAGGCTTGGGAGTAGGGAGGGAGATGAGTATAGAGGATGTACACTTCCAGTAGAGGGCTAGAAAAATGGAAAATTAATAGTCTGCGAGAGGTCTTTTCATGTAAAGAAGAGTAAGTGTGGGGAAACGAGAGGTAAGAGTGGTCTGGGAAAAGGCATACTTATCTTGCAAAGAGCTGGAGTGAAAGTAAACAGAGAACTGGATGGGGGAGAGGGAGAGGGAAGAGGAGAGTTCTCCCAAATATGAGAAGTGCAGAAGAAGTCGATGTAAAGAGGAGGGGAAACACACATCAAGTTTCAGACTGCTCAGGTAGTAGATGTCCCTGCAAAATTCTGCAATGCTGTGTGTATATGTGTATTATATAAGATTGTGGATATCAGTTATGCTGTTGAGAGTGACAGGTAAGGAGAACGGGTACTGAAAGAGGCTAGGTTATCTTCCTTTGCCCTCTCTGTCAGAGGTCAGAATGATCCTATTCACAGATGTTAAGCTTGAACTCATGTGTGATTTTCATGAAGACTCACGGTGGCGCTTTGAAAGCAAGCTGTCAGCTGTACCTTGTCTACCTATTCCTGCCCTTCTGCCAGTAACTGATCACTTGCATGGTGAAGCAGATAAAGGAACTGCTCCAGATGAACACCAGCCTGGCAAGAAGGTGTCACCTAAACCCTGTGGTTTGAACTTACTGAGAGGCACAAGTTCCCTGCCACATTCTGATTTCTTCTTTATGTTGACTTTTAGGATGCTCACCGGGGAATTTTTATCCAGCAACTGCGACACACACAGAATCCACAGCCCCGGATCAAACTGAAGTTGTTTGGACACTCAGGTGCTGGAAAAACAACCCTCGTGGAGTCTCTCAAATGTGGCCTGATACGAAGCTTTTTCCGAAGACGAAGGCCTAGGCTCTCGTCCACAAACTCGACCAGATTTCCCCCATCTCCTTTGTCATCCAAACCCTCAGGTATGGCTTTGAAGCTGTAATGTTTGAATAAGAAGACATTTCCTCTTGGTCTGTGTAGCTCCCAAGGAAGAGCTGTTGGCTGCACTGCAAAAGACAGGACACACAAATTGTTTAAGAAACCAAAGCAAAAACTGGGGAGGGTTTTGACTTCCCTGTACACAGGCTTGTACCTACAGTAAGAGCAAAGGGGAGCAGGCAGTGTGGAGGATGCAGGAGCAGTTAAGGTTTTGTTTACTTACATGAACTTAAGAGAGTGGAGGACAGGACTTGTGAACACTGGCATTTATTTTTCACAAAATGCCCTAGGCTGTGATGCCAGTGTCCTGACCACATGTCACCGTCATGATTTTGGGGATTAGGTTTTGTCAGTCTTTTCTTTTTGAGTAGCTCCAATAAACTCTGCGCAGAATTGAAACAGTTGCTGCATCTTTTTGTGATCTTCAGTAATAACAGAGCATTCAGACTGCCTCTGATGCCTTGGAGTGCTGTTCTGTAAGGTACAGGAGCGCATTAGCCCAGTTAGAGATGTCTAAAATTCTCTCCAAACAAGGTAGAAATAGAGGTTTTCTAAACTGAAATAAATGTGTGCTAATAATTGGGAAAACTTTGCCCACGTGTGAAGCTGGAAGAGCTGCAGAACGTGGAGGAGCTAGCTAGGTTTATACTTCAGCATGTGCCTGACTTTGGAGGAATCTACAGCTGTGGTGAAAGTACTCTGGAGAGAGTAGCAAACTATTTGTCCAGGTGCCTTTTCTAGTCCTGAGAGACTGCACAATATACAAGCTAAGCAAGCACGTGGAGAAACAAATTTGAATTGATATTTAGAAACAGTCTTAACTAAGTAAGTTTTAGATGGGGTCGAGGGTTGCCTTTTTCTTTAAAAACTTTTGGATAATACTTGCAGGTTTAGGTTTTATTCATCATTTTTAAGTAACGTTAGGACAGTGCTAGTAGTAGATTTTGTCTCTGCTTTCTCTCTAGTCACCTGGGGAAGCTAAAAAGTACTCAGAGTGGCTTAAGACAAGATGGCTGGCACAGAGATTGTTATTGCATTTGCAGTTTACTTAACATAAGAGGCTCACATCTGTGATGACAGAAAAAAGAACTGATTAAAGGAATCAACAGAAGTTCTTGATTTATTTATCTTAATTTACTGTGTCATACGAGAGGAGATAAGCCACTCAAAGAATATCAGTCCCTGGAAGTTTCTATCAGTACCTGGAGGCAGTTCAGGAAGGTTTTGACTTAAGACAGATTTTTTTCAATGTTGGTTGGTATCAGAAGCAGAGGATAGGTGTTATGTACTCACACCATCATAAAATCTAGACCACACTACTAGTCATATTGGCAAATCATTATAGAAATAACGGTGAATTCAAAGTGTGCACTTGAAAACAGCTTACCTAAATATAAACCAAAAAGTTGTGTAGTGCTATGCACACTTGAAACTTGTGCAATTCTATGCAAACAAAGCTACTGTGGCATTATTTTCCTGTTTGGTTTTTGCTTGTTTCAGCATCTGTTCCTTTGAATGAAATTCCTTATATAACATATAAATAACGTTATGGGTTGAGTGACATAATCAGATAAACATTAAAACCAGCACAATTTGATCTATACTTGATCATGTTTAGTGGTGGTCTTGGCAGTCCTGGGATAATGGTTCGACTTGATGACCTTTAAAGGTATTTTCCAACCTAGTTGATTCTGTGGTTCCATGTGCTTAGGTTTGTTTATATTCTGCAAAAATAAATGTGTGGCCTCACCACGTATTTATTTACAAGAGCCTAAAGATACCAATAATACAGTAGATCAAACATTAAAATACAGTTTTACAGCTGACAGGTGCTTTCTATGTTAAAACCCAGTATTAAATGCAATGTCTAGTAAAGGAGAGGAAACTACTTTCTCCACTAGATGGTGCCAGTCAATTACAAAGCCCTTTCATTTCTCTTAACGGAATCAGAATTAGGCAAGAACTGAACAAATTGCTTACTAGTAAAATAATTTTGGTTAAGGGCCTGCTTTTCTCCCCCATCTCCCCAGAAAGGTGTTGTTACATAGTGACATTTTTATCCTTACTTACGGGAATCAACAATATGAATAGGTAGTGATATTCCAATAAAAATAGACCATACTGGGAAATTGCAGCACTTAGCTAAAAAAAAACAGCTTATCTTTGCAACATAGAAGAATTTTAACTATTGAAACTTTTCACTCACAAATCTTCAGGTTTTGAGTTTTTCTTCTGTGCTTCCTCCCCAGCAGTATACATGCTAAAGGGCAATAAGTGCTATATGGGATCATTCTAATGTTGTCCTTTTCAGTCAAAGAAGGATGTAGTTTGGTATTCTCACAGCTTGGTAGTCATCTGCTTTCTTTGAAGAGCAGTTTGTTTGTTTAATCAGCTTTTATGCTTGCATACTTAATTTTGAATTGATCTGATTGTGATTTTCACATGTTTTGTAATCTCATTTTCCTTTCCCTGACCTAGTTTCAGTAAGTATTACAAATCTTTATCCTGGTTGTGAGAATGTGAGTGTGAGAAGCCGTAGTATGATGTTTGAGCCGGGCCTAACCAAAGGAGTATTAGAAGCTTTCGTTTCACCTGCTCATCACTCTCACTTACCTGCTGATGACCAGTCCACCAAGGCCATTGATATTCAGAATGCCTATTTGCATGGTAAGCAAAGCCGTGGGATCGTGTGCCTTAATGATGTGGGACAGTTAATGCCATGTTGCTTGTTTTTTAAAATAAAACTGAGAAGAAAAAAAAATCTGACGATACTGTAGAGACTGTGGTTGAAAACTCAACAGTGGTGGGATTTGGTTTGTTTAAGCAGAAGGTAAATCTGCATAAAGTTCTATACCTGTAATATACATACTAATCACTTGTGTCAGGTGCTTATAGTGTCACACAGAAATGTTTTTAAGGTAAGTGGGGCAGGAGGAAGGGAGGAAGGAAAGACTTAGTATAATAAGAGTGGGTTAGCAAACAAGGCTCCTTCACCAAAACTGTATGTCATTTGTGCCATATCCTTATTGGATTTAATCTGGTCCTATAGACCCAAGTGTCCTCGATATGATAGTTCCCAGCTGTATGAATGACCTACCATTCTTACCCCGTAACAGGGCTAGAGCATGTTTGGTGAGCCCTGGAGCCCACCAAACATGGTGAGTGGAGCTTCTGATTCCATTGTTCTTTTAAAAGGAAAAGATACACATGTTAGCAGTAAGAGGTCAGTCAGAGAAGTTGTCATAACTACATATATGGCTTTGACTGTGAAGACCATACAAAGTGCTCATATACACCACCAGCCATACTAATTATTATATAGGGGTAAGATCTCTCCCAGTAGGATCTCTTCTTCATAGTGAAAATGTTCTGAATGCCTTAACAGCTGCAATTTTGATTCTGATTTAGGATTAATCAAGATTTTTGTCTTGGAGGGTGAAAACTATTTATGAATGCAGTATATACACACTAACACACGAAGTGACAAAATGTTCATCCTAGATGCTGAAAAATTTGCCATGCAGCTAAAGCTTGTTCTTTGTCCAGGCTAATTTCCTCTGTCTTTGAAATCGAGTCAAGTTCTGTAGTGAAACAATTGTGCAACAGACTGTCAGAAAGGGTTTCTTTTCTTTCTCTGTGCTGTCTTGATATAAAATGAATACACATGGGTGAACTCTGAATAGCTGTACTCTTAACAGCAGGTTTGAGGTTTCTAGCTTCTAGAAGTTTAAGGTTCATCTTAATCAGCATTTTATTTAAATAGAGGTAGTACAAGTGCAGCAGACTTACCCCTAATCAGATGGTGTATCTGGGAAGTACTATATACTGCAACACACTAATACTTTTCTCACCTGAAGCTAAAGGATGGCAACAAGAAGCATGGATCTGTTGGGATTCTTAACATGGTGATTCTTAAATCCTGAGTTAATAATGAGATGTGAATATTACTGCAATTCTGTAAAGCAGAAGGCTTCTTTTTGTCCCTCAGCTCGTTTTAATAGCAGCAGTGACATGTTAAGAAGAACTAATTTAAATGCCTAGATTTTGGGGGTGAGCAGGAAAAGAAGCGAAGCTGTAACTCTTGTTTTGCAAGTGAATTACAAGGCAAAGGCAAATTTAATGTGTGAGGGTGCATACGGTTAACGCACAGGTGTTTCCATGTGGCATCCAGCTGACTGTCTGAGAGAAATGAATGTGAGAGAGGAACAGATTGTGAGCACCGAACTTCTCAGCCTCTGAAACTGACTGAAACCTCTTCCCCTTGTTCATGATGATTGCATCTGCAGTTGTCATTCTCATATGGGTTTCATAGGGTTTATCTTTGTGAAAGTTTAAATCAGATTAACTCTTTTGTTTGTCTTTCCATGGCTGAAAGATGCTTTGTGCTTACTGATAAAGTGTGATCTTTTCATCTGTTTGTCTGTTTTCAGGAGTTGGTGATTTCAGCATCTGGGAGTTTTCTGGGAATCCTGTGTACTTCTGCTGTTATGATTATTTTGCTGCAAATGATGCCACAGCAATTCACATAGTGCTTTTTAGTCTCGAGGAGCCTTACGAAATCCAGTTAAACCAAGTGACCTTTTGGCTCAGTTTACTGAAATCGTTAGTCCCAGTTGAGGAGCCAATAGGTATGCTCTTCTGCCTGTTAATTAAATAATACGGAACTGTAGAATAAAGCTTCTTGTCTTTCTCTGCAACTTTGTACATCATCTGTGTTGAGCACTGTTATGTCATCCCCATGTATTCAAACAAACTTCACACAAGATTTCTTAGAGAAAGGGAATTATCTGTGGAACAAGCCTGAAGAGTTGTACACACCACTTAATCCAACTAGAAGTGATCATGAAGTGTGGTGCAGCCTCCTGCGGCACTGGGATTTACATCTGTAAATGGCACATGAAGTTTTATGTTAAATAAGCTGTGTGGAAAAGTGTTTCAGAGGGTTGGAACAATTTAAAACCAGTTTTAGATGTATTGCTTAAATTCCACTTAAATCTAGCCCAAATTAACAGCATTTCCAGCATAAGTTAGTCTTGTCAGTGAGAACAGGACAGAAAATAGTGACGTGGCATTATCTCTCAATAAATGCAACTTTAACATGTTTAACTAGAGTTGTCTTGGGACTTCAAATATGTTAACCTTTTGGTGTATCAGGGTGTACAGAAATTGCTATTTCTTGTAAATTTGACTTTGTATATTCTCAGACTTTGCACAGGTTTTGAGTAAGTTTATTTGTTTTATATATAAGCTTTCTAACAGTTACTTGGCAGGCAAACAGATTTATTTTTTTAATCCTTAAAAGGTCTGTAAGTCTGGGTATGTATACACCATATAAATTTTTTGTGCTTTTAGCTGAGCATTGATCTGCAGATTGTTGCAGCTTCAGGGATGAACCAAGGTCTGGCATGTGTCTTGGTTCTATGAATCAAAATATTATTCCAGCCAGTGGATCTAACTCAGCACTCACAAGCACGTATAATGCTGCTAGGGACTCAACAGACAAGCATATTAAGTATTTATGTAGTGCAAAGAGTATTTCTCTCTTTTTTGTGTTCTGCTCAATTCTGTGTGCATTGTCTCAGACAAATAATGATAAGGATGAGCCCAGGAAGACCTTCAGTTTTCAGTTCAGGCATGTGCATTTTGCATTTTAGATCAAGTTACAGTAGTCACAGAGGTTAACAATATGAGCATTTGGATCTACCCAACATGAAATTACTTCTGGAAGTAAAAGCTCAGAAATATGCAAAAAAAAATCAAAGCTGAAAAAAGCAGTGAGTTTGCAATTGTGGAAAGCTATTAACAGCTCCTCAGTCTATAGTGAGGAAGCAGTTCTTGGTTTGACTGTGTTAGAATTTAATTGTCTCTTCCTGCTGAGCTGATTATCAGCATTATTTAAATACTTTGCTTAAATCAGTGTTTATAATGGTGGGCTCAGTTTGGGTACCCATGCGTTTTTGTACAAGTTCTTTGTAAGTAATCTGTAGTAACTGATGTTAGCAGAAAACTTATACTTTTGGAATTACTTCATTCAGCTGCCAAAAAAATATATACTAGTACAAAATACTTAACCGTGGAAGTACTATGCAAAGATTTGGGAAAACGTGACTGTTCATGAATTAATCAAGATTCTGTAGCCCTTGGCTGATGAAAACTGATTAGTGATGTAAGCATATTCTCCCATTGAATGTTTTTTCAGATTAAAACAGCAGAATTGGATGTACTGTCATTTTTTAAAAAATAGTTTAACAATGTCTCCTCTTTTCTGCAAGATAGTTTGAGAAAAGATTGAAAACTCTTGTGTTCCATCCTGTCACCTCATTCATGTCATTTGTTTCTTTCTTTCTTTCTTATTCTTTTTCATGGTTTCTGACAGGCTTTCCTACTTAACTCTCACCTAAGTGAGAGGTCATTGTTTGTGTAAGTACTGCAAAATAGCATTCATGCTAATGTATGAATGTTGTAGACCTTCTGTGTTCTACTTACAGTCCTCTAATGTGTACCTGTAGTATTAAGCATCATCCAAAGATTGAGAGAAACCCTTTGAAGAAGCTGTTATTTTTACTTCTTTTCCTCACACTGTCAAAGTGTTAATAGATGTCATTAGTGTTATTAATGTTTTTGTTAAAACAATAAAGTCATGTAGTGTCAATGTATCTGATGATATTCAAGCAGTCTACCTAGATAATCTTATAGGCAAATAAAAACCACAAAGCATCAGTGGTGTACCCACATTGTGGTTGTGCTTAGAGCTGGTAAATCCACTGCAAAAATGAATGGTATGAAGAATGTAAAATGTATTGCTACTTTCCTGGCTTAGTAAGGCAGCCATCTCCATAGGCATGTCTAATAGTGAGGGAGTGCTCTTGTTTCTCTTCCAGCATTCGGTGGAAAGCTGAAAAGTCCGCTGCGTGTTGTTCTGGTTGCCACACATGCTGACATAGTGAATCTTCCTCGGCCTGCTGGGGGAGAGTTTTGGTATGACAAAGATATGTCATTGTTGAAAGAAGTAAGGAACAGGTGAGTGGGGAGTGTGTTATACACAGCACTTAAACATGCCAAGTGGAAAGAAAAAAAATAATAAATGGATAGGAATATGTAAAATATTTTTATGTGGCTTAAGCTTTATGATTTGATGTTTTGAGTATGTTCAGGAAGTTTATACTGTGCAAATATTTAGTCACTTACCATTAATACAGTGAGCAAGCTGCCTGAAGTGACCTAAAACGAGCTAAGTGATGCAAAAATCAGTTGAGGCTTAGGAAGTCTCACCCTGTAAACACTGGGATTCATCCGAAGATTCATATCAGACATCTGCCTAACACTTGGTACTCAGGTTTTGCACCAGTCTCAGAAAAGTGGGCAGTTCTCAGCTACAGACTCTGGGTGCAAAAGAGGAAGCTTTACAGGAAAGCCACCTTTTGCTCTGAATCGATTTAGGATGGGCAGGAAAAAACTTAAACCTGGAGGTACTCCCTGCACAGTTTGTGAAAAGCTGGGTATTGTGGAGTCACACAGGTGACAAGGTTATCCAAGAGTTACCTAGAAGTTAGGGAAACTTCTAGCCTTCTTCAGCAAATGTTTGGAGAGCATGCTGGTTGGAGATGGAAAAGGGAAATTTGTCATCGACATACTGTTGTATAAACTGACAATAATTTATGTTCACAGTGAGCACGTAAGCGGGTAACACATGATATGAGCAACCATCCATACCTGCAGGCATAGATACTTGTCTGGACTGTGCAAGAAATAGATGTGGGAATCCCAGTGCAATAGTGGCAGGGCAGTGTCTTAATCAGTTGAAATAAACCAACAGAAATACCTGCATAATCGTTGATGTTGGAATACTTTTAAATGCAGATAAGTCCAGAGCTAAGAAAACAAATATGTGCTGTTGAAAAAACAAAAGGAACTGGAGAAGAGAGCTGGTGTCAGTAGCAATGACAACTGAACTATTCAAAGTGAGAAAAAAGAAAACAGCAAATACAGAGACCTTAAAAATAATTAATTTCCACTACCCCTCCTTTAGTAAAATGTTTGAGTTTGTAATTTCAAGTCTTGTGATGCAGTTGTTACTTTCTAATAAATGTTCAGCCTCCATTTTTTGGAAATACAATTTTCTCTCAATATCTCTGTTTATTTTCAAGAAAATTGGCAGTTGTACTCTCTGTGCTTATAAAATAACTTAGCATAATCAGTACTTAAATGTTTTCATTTTAGGAGACAAATAACTGTAATTCAAGACTGAAGTACAATTGAATTAAGAAATAAAACTGGATTTGGGACTACGTAAATAATTGCTTGCTTTTCCTCTTTTAGATTTGGAAATGATCTTCAAATTTCAGAAAAGTTATATGTGTTGGATGCTGGAGCATCTGGGTCTAAAGATATGAAGCTTCTCCGAAATCACTTGCAAGAAATAAGAAGCCAGATAATTTCTGTAAGTAGTTTCTAATGGTCTGTGTTGGACCAGCCAAAATGCAAGAATCCTCTGCAATAATTTACTGTAAATGTAGTACTTACATTATGTAACTTCAGTGAGTGCTGTTCAAATTTTTTAGCAGCTTGCATGACAAACATGGTGATAAAGAAACTCCTGACAGCAAAGATTCAGTCAGCATTTTCGAAATTATAGGTGTTTTATTAGGTCATCAAAATGATCTCTTTTAAAAGGAAACAATTCAAGATTTTCAGTTCAAAGGTATAGTTTCATGGTTTTAATTGACAGTGACATTGATTCTGTTAGAAAGATAATTCCCAATATAGATGTGTGAACTGACTATTAATTAACTTTTTACTTTTTTACTGAAAAATGTGTGCTTGGAGGTGTATAGATGTGGCTAAGTATATGTAAATGAGACTGTAGGTAAAATAGCCATGACTTGATGTTATTACTAGGAATCCACAGAATTTCTGGTGATATCACAGGAATCCATAACAACAGTGACCAAGTCAAGTCGATATGCAGCCTGTGCTGTATGGTTTTAAATTTCTTCATACCATACTTGTGTGACACACTAAGACTTTCTGTAGGCACTTCTGATAGGCTGGGATTTTTTTTAAATGAATGAAAAGTGAATGTATTAGTTCATTCTGTAGGAAGTGTTTGGGTTCATACCAAATTCAGTCTATTTTACATTCCCAGTGGTCTCTTGATTTAATAAGCTTTTCTTCTCTGCCAAAACTTTATCATAGCCACGCTCGATAGCTTGAAATCTGGAGGGCTTTGCTGCAGAAGATGTGCATGCTGTGGCTTGAGAGTGCAAGGCAACAGTGAGGTCCAAGCGAATCAATAAATAAAAGTAACATCTTCTTATCTGGTACCCTGCTGTCTCCCCTGTTGAAGTACATTGGCCCCGTACAGATAATGTTGACAATTTCTGAAATAAAGATTATCTTCTAGACCATGAAGTTGGTCATTTGACATTTGACAAGGCAGGACTATATAAACCAAGCTTTGTTTCACATGTCAGGATTCTCTTTGTAATCATGTTTAAAAAATCTTGTTTTAATTTAATCGAAAAACACTTTATTAAGAAAATGTAGATCTTATGGCAAGCAAATGGGAGAGTAAGGGTCCATCACAGGAGGAAGTCTTTAGACATGAATATACGCCATGAATATATTAGACTTTGTAACCTCCATTAAAAATAAACCCAAAACCAACAAAAAAAACCCACAACAACAGTACTGTCATTCTCTGCACAGTAGAATTACAAACATGTTTTCTGTGCTTTCATAAGAGTTGCCCACCTATGACTCATCTGTGTGAAAAAATAATCTCCACACTGCCTTCATGGAGAAAAATGAATGGACCCAACCAGCTGATGTCGTTGCAGCAGTTTGTATACGATGTAGAGGAACACCTTAATCCCCTAGCAAGTGAAGATGACCTACGGCATATTGCACAGCAGTTGCACAGCACAGGAGAGGTAAGTGTTTTTATCTAAATTGCAACTCTTTATTAGCAAGGTGCTGCTCTGGTAGAATATTGATTAATGAGATTGAAGCAGATGTCTATAGTTTGGAAGTTTGTAGCTGTAGTGTGTCTTGTAGCTTGTAGGTTTTTTTCCTCCTCCCTTTTTAAGACATCATAAAACGTAGACTGGTTAATAATGCTTTTTTGTTATCATTATTGTCCTGTGGCTCCTATTTCATTCAACAGCATTTCCTTGAAACAGGAAGAATTGCAGTTTATTCTGTAGTTGTAAGAAAGTAAAATACCCAGAAAGTGTAAGTATGATTTCATCTTTAATGAAGCAGTGCCTAATGTGTTAACTGCATATGAGAAATTTGTATGTCCATTAGAAATTGAATCAACGCATAACACCTTTGCATAAACAGCTTGCAGGGCATGGCTAGGCTGTACAGCTGTTGGATTCTAAAGGCGTCATTACTAGTGAAAATCAAGAACAAGACCTGCTCTTTGTTCTGAATACTTGTAAGAAAATAAAATGCACTGTTTTTCTCTTGTCAGCAGTGTTAACAAAATGATTGGTCAGCAAGTTAGGGAGGAAAGAACATGGGGTATCATGTACTTCACAAGACATAAATAATAACTTTTATATTTATGAACAGATTAACATTATGCAGAGTGAAACTGTCCAAGATGTTGTGCTTCTGGATCCTCGCTGGCTCTGTTCAAATGTCCTTGGAAAAATCCTGTCAGTGGAGAACCCAAAAGCTCTCCATCACTATAGAGGTCGGTACACTCTAGAGGATATCCAGCGTCTGGTGACAGATAGTGATGTGGAAGAACTGATACAGATTTTGGATGCAATGGATATTTGTGCAAGGGACCTTAGCAGTGGAGCAATGGTGGATATTCCTGCTCTCATAAAGACTGACAATCTCCACAGGTCTTGGACAGATGAGGAGGATGAGGTGCTGATTTATGGTGGTGTTAGAATCGTTCCTGTGGAACATCTTACCCCATTTCCTTGTGGAATTTTTCATAAAGTTCAGGTGAATCTCTGCAGGTGGGTTCATCAGCAAAGCACAGAGGGAGATGCAGATATACGTCTATGGGTAAATGGATCAAAGATTATGAATCGTGGAGCTGAGCTTTTAGTGCTGCTGGTCAACCATGGTCAGGGTATAGAGGTTCAAGTTAGAGGACTGGAAACAGAGAAGATCAAGTGCTGTTTACTTCTGGATTCTGTATGCAGCACCATTGATAATTTAATGGCCACAACTTTACCAGGCCTTCTGACTGGGAAATACTACCTTAGTCCTCAGCAGCTGAGGGAACATCATGAACCAGTAATGGTCTACCAGCCTAGAGACTTTTTCCGTGCACAGAGTCAAAAAGAGACATCACTAACTAACACTATGGGGGGATATAAAGAGAGCTTTAGCAGTATACTGTGTTTTGGGTGTCTTGATGTGTACTCCCAGGGAAGCCTAGGAATGGATATTCATGTTTCTGATCTAAATCTACTTACCAGGAGAAAACTAAGTCGACTTTTGGATCCACCTGATCCTATGGGGAAAGATTGGTGCCTTCTGGCCATGAACCTAGGCCTCCCTGATCTTGTTGCAAAGTACAATACAAATAATGGAACACAAAATGACTTTATCTCGAGCCCAGTCCATGCTCTCCTGCAGGAGTGGAGTAATGCTCCCGAGAGCACTGTAGGTATCCTAATGTCTAAGCTGAGGGAATTAGGTCGCAGAGATGCAGCAGATTTTTTACTGAAGGCATCTTCTGTATTCAAAATAAATTTAGATGCTAATGGTCCAGAAGCTTATGCTTCTAGTTGCAACAGTGGCACTTCTTATAACTCAATTAGCTCTGTAGTGTCACGGTAAAAGCAGGTGTTTTGCATGGACATACTTTCAAACTGCAGAAAGGATAAGAGATACAGTACAAAAGGTTCTGTGCATTTTAGTTTATGAGCTCTTACATCAAAGGATCATTATCCTTCTCTAGCACCACCTTTTGTGCATAAACTTTCTACTTCTAACTGTGAATTGTTGCTCTTTATCTATTAAAAAGGCTGGTGTACTTCTGGTGTTTCAGAGTTATTCTTTATACATAATGTGCTGCTTAATACTGCCATCTTAACTGGAAAGTTTTTATAAAATACTTTGAGTCTCCCCATAACACGCAAGGGGAGAGGAATAGCACATATTACCTGAAATGTATATGTCTTATACACACCCTTTTTTTAAAAAAATTTCCATCACATCCTCTGCTTAACATTTTCTTATATTTGTAAGGAGAGAAAAGAAATCCACCATTTGTGGTCAATCTGACTGAATTTCAAACCATCTTATTGTTTTTAGCTGATAAAGTGAGTGCCTTTTGCAGAAGGGAGGGTGCAGTTGATTTGAATGACCCTGCTGGAGTTACAAGAACATGCTACCTCTGTTTCACTTAAATCGTCTGCATGCTTATCATTGCGAGTGGTGCTTGCCTTTTGATTTTTTTCTGCACTTCTAAGACATTGGTGATAACTCACACAGAGCATTCTTGTACCAGTACTATGGGTATAGACATGTGATACCTAATCAACTTCAATTACAGTGGGATCATAATGTGAAAATCTCTTAAACTTGCCAATTACCATGCTTCATTATTTCCGTGCACCTCAGGTAAAAGTTAGCTTTTCATTATAGAATTCGAAAAACACAAGTGTTGGTTACTGCGGAAAAATATTGTAGAACTGTCAGTCGTTTGTGTATAACAAAGGTTTTCTACTATTAGATCCTGCATTACTTTACTTCCTGTACTTGAAAACTTCGATGGGGATAAAAACAAAAAGGAAGCAAGGTTTCTTGCAGTGATAACTTTAAAATTGATAGGAGGGAATATGAACCATTTTCTGTTTTGAAAAGCATGTAATTTAATGGTGCGATGTGTGTTTGTTTATATATATTGTATGTACATACATTAATACTATTTTTTCCTTAATCTTACAATGTAGTAAAATTTTAAAGGATTTTTCTACAAATAAACTGTTGCTTGTTGCATCCGTGACGTTCATATTCTGTATTTGAAAGGGACTGAAACTTGTCTTTTCCTTAGTGTCTCAATCCTGGAGAGGCAGTGGCTTCTGAAGTTCTGGGAACCCTCTGTTTCATTTCAGGGGAATTTCTTAGAATTCAGGAGGAATATTTATTCATTTTTTACTGCAGAGGTGGTCCCTCTGCAGCAGAGGGATTTGCATTCTGGTTGACAAATGGTAAGCCAAAGCTCTGTGCTACATAGCTTCTCCTTTGTGTTTTTCTGCAATGGAAACCAAAACAGCAGACATGAGTCTGTCATCAGGAAGCTTCGAGTATGCTGTGCTGCAAAGGGGATTAACATTGCATTAGAGCCTGTGCTGCAGTATTAGTCCTTTACATTAAGGATCCCCTCATCATGGGGGTTGGACCTGTATAATCTTAAGGTCCTTTCCAACCCTAACCGTTCTACGATTCTATGACATGAGTGCTATGGCTGCTCATTTAAACCCTCAGCATCACTTACTGATAGCTGCACAGTCTCAGTACAGCACTCTATGCAGGCCGCTCTCCACAATACCTCCTCCCTGTGTATGCTGCAAAGGAGTTAAATAGTCATCTCTTAAATTGATAGTTGTCATTTTCCACTGCCTTTCTTTCCATATTTTCTCTTGTTTCATTAAATTCTTCCCCCGGCATCACTGGGCTCCTTTGTTAGACATTTCTTGAAGTGTTAGTCCTCAATGAGCAATGGTTCATATTCCAGAGAGTTGTAGTCTATGGGGCGGAGTCTAGTTGGAGGCCTGTAACTAGTGGAGTGCCTCAAGGGTCAGTACTGGGACCGGTATTATTTAATATATTCATCAATGATTTAGATGAGGGAATTGAGTGTACTATCAGCAAGTTTGCTGATGACACTAAGCTGGGAGGAGTGGCTGACACGCCAGAAGGCTGTGCTGCCATCCAGCGAGACCTGGACAGGCTGGAGAGTTGGGCAGGGAATAACGGGATGAAATATAACAAGGGAAAGTGTAGAGTCCTGCATCTGGGCAGGAACAACCCCAGGTTCCAGTATAGGTTGGGGAACGACCTGCTAGAGAGCAGTGTAGGGGAGAGGGACCTGGGGGTCCTAGTGGACGACAGGATGACCATGAGCCAACACTGTGCCCTTGTGGCTAAGAAGGCCAATGGCATCCTGGGGTGTATTAGAAGGGGGGTGGTTAGTAGGTCGAGAGAGGTCCTCCTTCCCCTCTACTCTGCCCTGGTGAGACCCCATCTGGAATATTGTGTCCAGTTCTGGGCCCCTCAGTTCAAGAAGGACAGGGAGCTGCTGGAGAGAGTCCAGCGCAGGGCAACCAAGATGATTAAGGGAGTGGAGCATCTCCCTTATGAGGAAAGACTGAGGGAGCTGGGTCTTTATAGTTTAGAGAAGAGGAGACTGAGGGGTGACCTTATAAGTGTCTATAAATATATAAAGGGGGAGTGTCATGAGGATGGAGCCAGGCTCTACTCAGTGGCAAACAATGATAGGACAAGGGGTAATGGGTGCAAACTGGAACACAAGAGGTTCCACTTAAACTTGAGAAGGAACTTCTTCTCAGTGAGGGTGACGGAACACTGGAACAGGCTGCCCAGGGAGGTTGTGGAGTCTCCTTCCCTGGAGACATTCAAAGCCCGCCTGGACACATTCCTGTGTAACGTTATCTAGGTGTTCCTGCTCTGGCAGGGGGATTGGACTAGATGATCTTTTGAGGTCCCTTCCAATCTCCAGCATACTGTGATACTGTGATACTGTAATGTGGTTAATGCCAGTACTAACCTGAGGTGCCTGTGCTCTGATATTCTGCCTCCAATGAACCGAGTTCAGTGTCTCCCACCAGTGCCCAAAGTTGCTCAGTGAGGAGCTCAGCTTTCCACAGGCTGTATTTGCTTAGGTCATATCATGGTCACCTCCATGCCTCAACTTCCCTCTCTGAACACATTCAGCACTTTTTTTGGATTCTGGTATGTGGAGGGGTCTTTCTCATCTCATAAGACTTTATGGTTTTCTTGCTGATTTCCTTAGGCCTGTTTTCAAAAATCAGATTTGGAGTTACCTTCACTGAGTCCATGTGACTGCGGTAGAGCAGGACTTGCCATCAGAAGCCTTTTCAGAGCAGAGACTACTCCGAGATGCCTTTCCAAAGCAGGGTTGTCAGCAGTGTCTGTTAGTTTGGGATTTAATTCACCACTGTACTGCTTGTGGTGGAGTGGCAAGATTTTGAGATACCAGGTAGCTCCTACCCTGCCTGCCTCCTGTGTTGCTTTATGCATGGTTGACTGACCAACATTGATGCAATAGTCTTTTGCCCTTTTTCAGCATGTTCCTGACATGCAGAAAACAACACCATGTTCCTGACAACTCTCTGCTTCCATTTACTGTAAAATACAGCCCTTATTTTACAGCCTGTAAAATAAGAGTATAAATGACTTAGCAGATGCTATGATGTTTCCTTGAACAGCAGTGACAGCCTATTGCATCATTTACAGTTTTCATGGTAATAGGCTCAGGAAAGTGAATCACAGACATAGGATAGCTTGCATTGCTTTCCTACAAGTCATGTGCCACTGACCAAAAAAAAAATTGTTGTCCTAAATAACAAAAAAAAAAAAAGGTTAGCAGAGTGATAAAAGTGGGCATCCCTTCAGCTGCTTCACTTTTATTGATTGCCTGTTTTGCTTTGTGAATGCCACTAGGAGCAGAGCTTCATTCCGCAGTTTTTAGAACTGTGTTTAAAATGCACTGAGCCTGCTTTACTCACCTCAGAAATTGAGGGAATGCAGGTCTTTGCAAGATCAAAGCACTTTAGCCATAAATGTACAGTACGTATAGTTTGTTCAAGGAACGTGCTGAGTTCAGTTCCTGATAGTGAAATAAGTGAGGCTGGATATTCTTAAGAGACTCTCTACTTTCCACTTCTTTCTGGCCTCAGCACAGAGCTTCTGAAACAGAATTTTGAAGATAAAACAGATAAAGCCAAACATTTCGTTTTTGTCTTCAAAATCCATAATGCAGACAAACTCTCAAGCTTGCAACACAGTTACTCAAGGCCAGATGCATTACAGATGGTCTTCCTGTTTAGACATGTGTGTTACTGGCATCTGGATTCAAAACATTCTGAAGAAGGCGGTGATGGGGAAGAAGCAAACATTTTGGTGCAAAATATTTTTCCAAGTTGAGTCTTTTCTCTCTGCCATGCAGCAGGGTAGGGAAGTGCTTCATATTGCTGTTTGTATTAGGGTTTACTGGGTTTTACTGTCTGTGGGAGTTCTGCTGCTGACCAGACTGATAAATTTGAAAAGCCACAAGAGGTAAGTGGCTACATGCAAATAATTTTAGGGTGGGACAAGAAGGGCATCCAGAGGTGACCTTGGCTGGAAGTGGGATATATATGATTCTTCTTGCCTGAAGATGGTGTAAACTGGAGACAGCCGCAGGTTTTAGGATCCTTGTGATTCAAATGATTGACTAAGAGTTGTGGACTACAGGGATTTAGCGACTCCCAAATGTTAAAAGGTTGACAGAGCCAGGAGGCTTAGAAAGGAGCCAGAACACAGTTTCCTAAATGGTGAGGTCTCTAGAGAGAGTAACAGTGAATCTGTTAATGCTGGCTGTGCAGGAGGAAATTCCAGGACCTGAACATGTGCTGGCTGCATTCCCCACTCCAAGGAGTTCCCTTTCAGTTCATTGCATCCTTTTAAAACATGTGCCTCCATTTGATTCACACTGCTACTTCAGCTTGCCAATGAAAGCGAGGAGTAACGCCTAACTTGTAACTTAGTAAAGTAAGTAAATGATGCTTTCTGTTGGCTGAAACCTCTCTCTAGGCCAGAGGAGATGAAACAGTGCGGTATCTTCTTTGAAGGTGGCCCGAAAGCACTATGTACAATATTAAAATTTATTTCTATTTGACTTTGTTTTTTAAATCACAAAAAATACTAAACATTACCAGAGATTCGCTCCCATGTTTTTTTCAGTCTTTGTCTGATTTGGAAGGCAAGGTAGTAGGTAGAAAAGAGGAAGATGCGTGA